TATCAAAGAGAGACGAAGAGACACACGATGGACGAGAATCCACTCGCGTCAACGGGTGTAGCATATCACGTAGTAAAAGCTGCGGCGTATCCCGAGTAAGACCTCTTGCTATAGGATTCGCTTTGTAGCATGTAAGAGAAATACACATCAACAGACGACTCACCCGGGTGATGGGATGTAGCCAATATGTACGCTCAACGGGTTGAGCTGACCCGTGCTATGCGTCTTTCTATAGGATATGCTTTGTAGGCCAGGCGCCCATAGTGTACGTGTATTTCACGCTCACCGTACACACGTACGCACACTCGATTCGAGTCGTGGCGATTGCGACAATTGGCGCAAACCATGGACCTATTTTCGCGTAAAATCTTTACTCTGAAAACAATTATAAAAATCCTGAGATCTATACCAACATATTCATAGTCCAAGCTTCTGTTTTATAGGTCTTTTCATGAAAACTACATCGAAATCACAACAATAATAACGCTAATAGATCTGTAATAGCACGCCCTCACGTGACTGACAGTTCAGTTGCAAACTGCCTTGAGTCCACAGTGTATTGCCACCGCAGTTGAGCGCTGCTGTCGGCGGTGCTGTCGGAGCTGAGTGTGTGAGCATGGAGTAGCGATGACCGGAGTAGCCAGGCCTGTCAGTGGTGTGAGGAGAGTCTAAACAACACTTTGAAATTGCTATTCTTGCCCCGATTTCAATATAGTTTCGTGAATAGATGTATGAAGCCTGGGCTTAGATTGTGATTATTCTGGCCATGTATAGTTGTATACTGAATTTCGATAATCATTTTTCAAAGTAAAGTTTTCACAAGCAAAGTAAAGTTTTCACAAGAAAATCAGACGGTCGTCATGGTCGTTTAAAAACATGATAATACTTTTATTATGATACAGTTCTTGCATCAAATCAATTTTTAAAGTATGGGGGGGGGGGGGTCAGGTAACTCAAAGCGATTTGAGTGCAGGCGTGGTGTCCACGGGTACAAAGGGCTGAACCCCCGAAAGCTCAGGGGTTTTGGGCATTTAATTACGGTCAGATGAGCATATTTTTAATACCTTATTTGTGACACTGGCAGGTCGATCACTAATTGGCGTGGGGTCCATAGTAGAGTTGCGTACCAACTACGCTGAGCTGAGAGTACGCTGGCCTATGTTACTATACCATGAGGGACGTAAAAAAGTACGCAAGATGAACGCAAACAATTTAATATGTTTAACAAAATTCGCGTACTTTCGGCGTAGAAACTTGACGCAGAAAGTACTCCTTTTTTTAAGTAACACTACGCTACTAAACTAAACAAACTGCATCTTTAAATGAATTAATGAAAAATTAGCCCACGAAAAATGATCGAGCCCCCGAAAGATAAAAAAGTAGCCCCCCAAAATTTTCCCAAAATTTGATATAGATCGAGTCCCCGAAAAAAAATAATCTTTCACTGGATTCTACGCTCACAGTCCCACACACAGTCGAGTCAAATTGTGCACAAACCGTCCATTTTTTTGCGTAAAATCTTTACTTTGAAAATAATTGTACACATTTTGTGAACAATGCCAACATAATCATAATCCAAGCCTCTGCATATGTAGTCTTTTCATGAAACTACATTGAAATCACAACAATAATAATGCGAATAAATCGTAATTATCGAGATCCTATCTGACATAGTTTGTTTTACGATGCGCCATTCATGGTCAAACAGCATATATTATAAAAATTCTCTATATAAAGATAATCTAATTTTTTTTTGGATAGCACATAGGCCTCTATCTATCTATTTGGCCCCCTCCCCTAGAATCCCATGGATTTTCCACGGGTCCTGCTAGTCAATATAGATTGGACTAAGTTGCCATAACTTATTTCATACATCATTTTATTATAGCATGAAAGAATCTTTAAAGTAACCATTAACATTACGTTAGATAACCATGCAGATAAACAATTGGTGTAATTGAAATTGGACTGTAATCCGGTATCTGTCAGCTAATTACTCTGCAGCTACAACAATCGTATAGCTAGAAGGAAAAAAACAACATCATCTGCTGACTTTAAACTGACTGATTAACTAATTAACTGATCATAGTTCCCTGACAGTGCACCTCATTATCAATACCATAATAAACCATTAAAACATTCTTGAAATATATACATTAGTTAGTGATTACTCATCGAATTCCTACAAAATATTCAGTTTTCCCCAACGGCAAAATAATAATAATAATAATAATAATAGTGTAAACTTATAGAGCGCACACACCGTCCAGGGACGCTCATTGCGCCAGCTCAGCAACAGTTCTCTTTGATACAAGTAAAGTAAATAATTTTGCAATATTTTTTGTGATATTTTGTTATAACCCATTTCAATCCTCAGCTCTGCCTGGTGGGGCCCGGTGCCCTCCAGCTGCTCCGTTCACTGACAATTTAAGGGACTAGCCCAGTCAGCACATTATTCACAGAAGCTCTAGCATCTGAGGCCAACAGGCCCCACACAGGCAGCCAATGAGACTAAAGGGTGATAACTAATTAATTTCAAATGTATATACAAATAACATATCAATTATGGATTTAGTAAAATAAACTTATACAACTTAAGGAAATACTGGGTTACAAATGGAATAGGTAAGTCTTAAGACAAGTTTTAAAGGCAGAGTATGTTGCAATACAGCGAAGTGATGAGGGAAGCTTATTCCATAATTTGGCTGCTGCATGCGAAAAAGCATGGTCTCCCCATGAATGACGGGTACGGGGAATTTGCAGCAAATTATCACTTCCAGATCTTAAGGTACGAGTTGGATTGTAGGAGTGTAGTGAGTCTTTAATGTATTGTGGCGAGATTCCATGGAGAGCCCGATAAACAAGTAACATAATTTTGAAGTGGACCCTTTTCTGGACAGGTAGCCAGTGAAGAGAGCGTAATATAGGCGTAATAGAAGACATTCTTGGTGTGAAAGTAAGGAGTCTTGCACTGGAATTTTGGAGGGATTGCAGTCTGTCTTGCTGCTGTTTTGTGAGTCCAAATAGAATAGAATTACAAAAATCTAAGCGGGATGAGATTAATGCATGGATTAATTGTTCGCATGCTTTTTGAGTCAGAGATTTTCGTATGAACCCAAGGTTCCGCAGTTGATATCTTACAGACTTTGATATGCTAGATACATGTTCAACAAATGACATATTATTGTCAAATATCACACCGAGGTTACGGACCTTTGAGGCTGGCTTTAGAACTTTGTCACCTAGATGCAAGCTTAAATGAGTATGATTTGCTCTCAGTAAAGAGTTCTTAGAGCCCAAAATGATAAACTCGGTTTTATTTTCATTTATTTTAAGACCGTTGGAATCCATCCAGCCTTTCATGTCATGAATACAGGCTTCTAAATCATTCTACAAACGATACCAGTGCCAAATTCGTTAGACTTAATGTACATTATTACAAACCGAACAATCTTTGCCTTCACCTGTATATGAAAGCATCTTTAAAGTAACCATTAACATTACGTTAGATAACCATGCAGATAAACAATTGGTGTAATTGAAATTGGACTGTAATCCGGTATCTGTCAGCTAATTACTCTGCAGCTACAACAATCGTATAGCTAGAAGGAAAAAACAACATCATCTGCTGACTTTAAACTGACTGATTAACTAATTAACTGATCATAGTTCCCTGACAGTGCACCTCATTATCAATACCATAATAAACCATTAAAACATTCTTGAAATATATACATTAGTTAGTGATTACTCATCGAATTCCTACAAAATATTCAGTTTTCCCCAACGGCAAAATCATTCTACAAACGATACCAGTGCCAAATTCGTTAGACTTAATGTACATTATTACAAACCGAACAATCTTTGCCTTCACCTGTATATGAACAAACATGTATGAAATGTACCACTATCGTAAATTTTAGCTGTTACACAAAGATATATCACACTTTGTATAAGTTGTTGTTATTTCTTTTTTCTTCTTTAAACAGGAAAATTGAGGTGAAACACAAATAGGGCAAAGCTTAGAACATGGCCCCACACACATACTATTACCAAACCGTGACAAGATGCACTTTTAGTATGATATGTACACTGCTAGATCAGGCATATTTCCATCTGCGTGTCCAACCGTACCTAGTATCACGACTATACTTATCCCTCACAAAATTATAATGATAAGGATGGATACAAAATCCTAAAAAGTTTCTAACATTCAGGTTTGAGCGTTGATATCTCTCTTGTTAAGTACTGTTTATTCCCATTTACAATGATGCTCCATTTTTTTTTAAAGATTACATAATCATGTGATGTGTAGTACACCTGAATATGGGGTCAAGTCAAAAATGAAATGTTGCAAAATATATTGTTATTGTCAACAATAAATTCCTCATTTGAATGGAGGATGGATTGTGTTGTGAATGATAATCTCTGCGTCAGTCGATTCAACACATTTCATCTTCAAACAAAATAAAATTAATGAAAACAGTACATTGTACTTCATAATTGACAACCTCGTACAAATCATTAAAAACACGTTTTATTTTCAAAGTATAGGAGAATACACCATATGTGTATTTAATGTATATATTTGTATTAGTGTATTGAGGACGTGGTTGGTAGGTTTACATCGATTTTTAAAGATACATTTTAAGTAAGACCTTAATTCACCATGGATTTGATGTCATATGACGGATAATCAAAATACCTTTAAGTTGACATCCATTTCATAGATTTATGTTAGTTTGTTGAATATAAATTTTGAGTCGAAAACGCTTTTTTTCTAATTTTGTTTGGATCCCCCCTAAACTTGGCCGGTATCTTGGTATTTTAACTCTACGATAGTTTCTTATTACAGTAGCATTTTGGTCGTATGCGTATCTCCTCCGTCGCGGAACACAATCTTCTCTTATATATATATATATATGCCTAGTATAAGCGTTCACGAATTTGTGTGTGTGCGTTGAACACATTTTTCCCACACGGCTTACATGTTATTGATGTTAATTACAGTAAACAATTAAAGTCTCTAATTCAGCTTCTCTCAGAGCTTCGTGTAAGTCAGCCACAGTACGGGGTGATTTAATCCTCCATTTCGCAATGCATTCACTCGTTGCCTTCTCATAGTTGTTGAGACACTCTGCGAGAATGTTCTTGGCCTTGATTCGCTTGATTCCAAGCTTTGCGCTAAACTTGTAGTAGTCGTCGCATGGAATTTCTTGTGCCAATGTATTTAGCATTTCGTCGCTCACTTCCCTGGTTAGATATAAATATATATATATAAGAATACAGAAATATAGATCATAACGTTATAAAACCTACGTTTTGCGATGAGCTGCGTGGTACCGCATTCATTTTTAATGCAGCTATTTGTATTATTATGTATCATTTTTGGTACAATTTTATCAATTATTTTTTCGTTTTTATTTTAGTTTTAAATACCACGATTGCAAATCCATATTGTATTGTCTATATGAATTGTTATGTACTCTTAATTAAAAATTCGTATTCATGATACTCATGATACAATATTCTGATAAAAGTGTATTCATGTCTTGAGGGGAGAGATCCATCCTAATATAAAGTTGGTTTTAATAAAAGCATAACAAAGAGTAGAAAAAATCATTTAATGAAAGTTTGAACAGTATCCGATTAAGAAAATATGATAGTAATGAGTTTCTGAAGTTGAGATCAGAAAAACAAATTTGCAACACTGTGACGTATTTTGCGAGCTCCTCTCCTATTTCACCAGTACAGAACATTTCATAAACTTCCATTACTTAGTTATTGATGATGGAATAGATTTTTTTCAAACAGGGGTTGCATAAAAATTTTCTTTTTGAAGTTTGTTAGTAAAGGGCAAACGGGAGGGGAGCTCACAAGATACGTCACGGAGTTGCCAAATTGTATTTGGTTAATCGCGCCTTCCAAAACTGTAAACTTTCTTAATTTCAATCGGATTTGTTTAAACTTTCACTGACCTACTTCTTCTCCTAACCCTATAAATGCAGAATGGGAATTGGGTCCTTTGACCTGGGTAATAATACTTCAAACACCAAGGTTTGTTACGTGTATCTTGTAGTGATCAAACTGTCACTTACCTGTTTATTACATTGTTACGTTTTAGTAGGGAGCTACACAAAACAGTTATAAATTATCATCATCCTTATATTACTTAAGTATTTGTTGAAGATGGGCAAGGCTCAAATAATTCATACTGGCAAAGTTACAAGACATTACAACAATGTTTCAATAATGTAACATTTGTTTACACATTCTAAAGTGTACAGGGCGAATGAGAAGGGATCTCGCAGCAAGAAACGTCACAGAGTTGCCAATTTGGGTTTGAACGATCACAGCTTTAGAAAAAATAATAACTTTCTTATTTTTTATCGGATTTTGCTCAAATTCACCGAATTCACTTCTTCTCTCATTAAAGGGTGGACTTCGCCTTTATCCCTAAGGGGCCGGGGAAGAACCCACCCCCTCCCTCGAACGCACGCTACGGTACGTTCGACGTTTCTCTTTTCTTCGAACAGGTACCAGCCAAAAATATAGAGGTGTGTGGGTTGAATCCACACACCCACCTCCCTCCCCCACCCCTCGCGTTTGGAGGATTCATTCATTACCTATTCATTGAAAATATCAAACCCTTCCTCGTTGCGACTTCGTTCCTCTCTTCGAATATTATATGCCTTGTAAAGCATCAGTTTGTTTTCGCGAGGGAAACGTTACTCTAATTAAGATCAATTTTGACCTATTAGTGTGTTTCAATAGTCTGACATGCTCAAAGTGTCGTAATTTGGTCAAAGATTATCAACTATATTGAATTTACATCTGAAAAAGACGATGTAATTTTGTCGAATTCTTACAAATCTTATTCCGACTTATGTTTTTCCATTCTGTGTCGTAACGGGGATATGCCCATACACCTTTCGGTATAAATCAGAGTTGTAGTAGCAATGGGCGTTGATAGAGACGTTGCAAAACAGTTGTACCAAAACACAAACAATCTCGTTTATACCTTTTTGATCTAGGCTAGCATATAGTTGATATCTAAGAACAATATCGATATTGTTCCCTAAGTTTTGGGCTATAACATCTGTGAGATTCTAATCAGAAATTATCAAAAAGCACATAAGCCATTAAGAACAAAATCTAACCTTGATGTAGAAGTAGATACTACATCGACTGCTGCTGATGCACCTTGAAGAGAAATGTCGACTACTTTGGATGCCGACGTTGACGGTCTCGGAGATGTGGAATTTGTGTTCACTAGTGATGCTCGAGTTATTCCTGATTTTAAGTGTGGGAAACAATCAAAAAGTAACATAAAAAATGTAAAAATTACAATTTGTATACATTGTTACCAAAGAGTTAATAATAAATCATCAGGGATATTCTTATTTTGTTCATCTTTATGTGGTCCAAGATAGTGCTTCAGCACCATACTTTGCTGTTCATGTGCAAGCGAGCCAAACGAGCGAGCAATTGTTAAAAAACAATTGTGGTCACATTGCAACCGATTAGTCTATGTGAATTAGAGTACAAGTTAGGGAAGGGGCTATGGTAAATATATTGTTTCTGGGGAAATGAGGGGGTGATAACAACATCTTGTAATATAGCACGTAAAATAATTACATATCTCAGTCTGTTTTACACGAATGACACACAATGATAATGTAGTATGAATAGGTATATTATGGAACAAAGGGTTATCGATTACATTAGCCTAGAAAAGGGAGGTTCGATAGCTTTTAAAACGAGCATGATTATATTTCGGAAAGGGGCACAGTTAGTTTGTATGACATTTTGATAATTGTGCCCCCCCGGCTAGATATGGTACTTCAGACGACCACAAAATGGCACAGTTTGTAAGCGACAGCGGGAGATATAGGTCAAAAGTGGCGCCTAGCAAAAGGCAATTACATCAGTCAAAAAACAAGGGGAGCAAATGGGTATCAAAAGCAGCAAAAAGCAATTTCCAAAATTGAAAAGTGCACCTATTCAAAGTAAAAGAGGCGCTTCTCAGGGGTGAGGAAGGGCATTCTCATCCGTAAACAGGGGGTACTCATCGGAAAAGAAAAAGGGGCACTTCTTAAAAGGGAAATGCACTTATTACAAAGGAAAATGGATACTTGTCAAAGTAAAAGGGGCACCTATCAGATTTAGATATGACACTTATCAGAGGTAGAAAGAGTGGATTTATAGGAAAGGGAAAGGGCAGTTATTACAAAAGATAAAGGGGCAATTATCAGAAGGGAAACGTTCAAGTAATTGAAAGGGTAAGTGGCATGTGTCAAAGTAAATGAGGCACTTATCGGAAGGGAAAAGGACACTTATTAGAAAAGGAAAAGTCAATTGTCCAACTATCAGGAGCACCTATCAGATTAGAATAGGAGCACCAATCACAAATAAAAAGGGGCATTTATGATAAAGGGGGAAACGGCAGTTATAAGAAAAGAGGCACTTATCTGAAGTAGAAAGGGGCACTTTAGGGGTACTTGAACAAGTGTGTGTGTGGGGGGGGGGGGGGGGGGGGAGGGGGAGGTACACTTTTGTTAACGTGAAATACGTACTACAGTAACTATTCTAGTACTATACTATCAACGGGAACAATACACACCCAAACAAAATACATTCGATACATTGCGTTCCGACGGGGGAAGAACAAAGTTACAATCCTGTTTTTAATATATTTTTATTTTTTACTCTTCACTCCCGCACATTGAGTTCAAATCTGTAAATCTCGTTTTACGGTGGAAAAATAATAAGTAATTGCAGGGGCGAACCGAAGATGGTGAGAAGTGTTTTTTGCTTGCTTGTGTGCATTAATGTACAATTCTGCGTGCAGCGGATCTAGCGGTGTAGCCTGTCAAACTGCCAGCCCGCTTCCCACCACAGACTGTTCGTGATCCGCCAAGAGTGTGACGAAAGGTTTGTGTGGAAGTTGCGATTTCGGTTTGGGATAGACTTGTCAAAACCTTCCTACTTCCGATGTGGTTTAAATTGACGATTTATTCATTTATTTGCTCCTCGGTATTTTTAGTTTCATTAAAATACTGTTTAATGTGCAATTTGATATTCTAAATCGTGATGGCAATCTTTACTGTTGATCTTGTTAAGATTAAGAAGTTATTAAAATTGATAGTATTCGCATTATGAAATTAACATTGTATGTTTGAGCCTATTTAACTTGCGTAATTGGTTTCATTATCTAAGTTTTTGAAAATTGTCCCTGGTTCTGGATCAATCCCCGTGGGCGAGGGGTAACTTTTAAAAAATAAATTCCCCCTTGTTCCTGGCCGTTAATTTCAAGGCTTGTGTAGGCGGCTTTTTTCCCCCATGAGTTTGACGAATTACTTGTTCGAGAGTACTCACCGGTTTGGAGATCTGGAACCTTAGAATTCCTCGAGAACATGTCTGTAAGTCTTTCAAGCCCTGCCAGCTTCAAGGCATCTGCGAGAGCTGGTCGTTCTTCTGCATCTGTCTGGTTATCTCGCCAATCGCGGAGCATCTTCAATGTACCCTCATACGTCACATGCTGATAATGGGTATTCGTGGCTATGTACCTCCCAATTTCGGCTGGATCAAAACCAAGGGCCTTGCCGAGAGAGTCTATTTTCGTGTTGTCTGGGATGAGACGCGCCACGTTTTTCAAGATGTCATCAAAATCATCTTCCCGTTCGAGATGACTCCTTAAAAGACATGTAGATAACATTACTCAGTACGTGGACTCAGTATTGATTTATTCTAGTCGTTTAACTGATCTGAAACTGTCTAGAAGTTACACTAATGGTTTATTATGAAGTGAGATTCCGGGAGCCATGCACATGTATCGAAACTCCTCAGAAAATCAAGGAAGTACTCCTAAGACATGTAATAGTTTTACTCTGAAACTAAACAAATGCATAATGCTCCTTGTATTACTTGCAGTCTGTAGTCATCTTAGTGATAATAATGCAGAGCCTTTAGAATATTGTTAGAGGAATAGTAGGAAAAGGTTGATGTTAAAGAAGAAGATAGTATATGGTGATGATGATAATGATGAAACAAAAGAAGAAGACGAAGCAGAATAATAATAATAATAGTTCGTTCTTTTATAGCGCATTTCAGGACCGAATGCCCTCTAAAAGCGCTTTACAATGTACAATGTATGTTTACATAATAATTACTCGAAGCATTCATCAAAGAGGTGAGTTCTCAGCGCTCTCTTAAAAACTTCAACAGAAGAAGAAGACGACAGAGAAATGAAGAAGAAAAAGAACGCGAAGAAGAAAAGAAGGAAGTAGTAGTAGGATAAGAATAACAACAACAAGAGCAGAAGAACATGAATACAAACATCAGCAACACCAACATGAACAAGAAGAATACAAAACAGAAATGTCAGTATATTTCAAATAGATGGACAATATAATCAGTAACACTTAATAGGTCTCCTAGGTTAAAGTTCAGACTTCAAGCCAGACAATTGAAATTATTTCATTTGATTCTTATTTTTAACCATAATGCATGGCTGTCCAGAGGAATTTTCCTGTCGGGGACCGGGGTAAAATGCAATGATTTATTGAGATTTTTTTTGCATTTTCAATCTTTTTATTTTATTTGTGGGGTTGCCCGCTACCCTAGCCCCCGCTGCGTACAGTCATGATTCAGTGGCAAAGCAACAAGCAGAATTGACAAAAGACTTAACTCGGTTTCATTGACAATCAGCCATGTATAAAGTATTTCGTCTATGTGTGATCGTCAACGAAACGGAGTTAAGTCTTTTATCAATTCCGTTTGTTGCTACGGCAGGCAGCTAGTGAAAACGAATTCGTTTTTCTGGGTCGCACTGTATTATTCAGGGGCGTAAATCCCGGGGGGGGGGGGGGGGGGCTGCATCCCCCCCTGGTTTGAAGTAGGGGGATGGCCTGTACAATCATCCCTCCCTGATTTTACCCAAAAAAAGAGAGGAAAAAAAGAGAGGAAAAAAAGGAAGAAGAAGAAGAAGAAAAAATGTGATTGTTTCAATTGCAGCATAATGCATGAGAAATGAGTTATTTTGTTTATGTATAGCCTACACGTATACAGTATGTCACAATAAGGAAACGTCAAGGCTTCCGCGCTTCGCGCGAGCGGGGGAAACTGAATTCAGATAAATAGGGCTTATTAAGAGTCGAAAACGGTGCAACGAATCGTCTTCTTTCTATAATAATTAAATCAAACGTCTAAGCTTTTCACGCTTCGCGCGGGAAGGGGAAACTGAATTCAGACGAGAATTAAGAGTCGAAAACAGTACACTCAATCGTCTGCATTCTCTAATAGTTTAAGGAAACGCCAAGGCCTTCGCGCTTCGCGCGAGAGGGGGAAACTGAATTCAGATAAATAGGGCTTGCAACGAATCGTCTTCTTCCTATAATAATTAAATCAAACGTCTAAGCTTTTCGCGCTTGGCGCGGGAAAGGGAAACTGAATTCAGACGGGAATTAAGAGTCGAGAACAGTACACCCAATCGTCTGCTTTCTCTAATAGTTTAAGAAAACGTCAAGGCTTCGCGCGAAAGGGGGGAACTGAATGCAGATAAATAGGGCTTATTAAGAGTCGAAAACGGTGCAAAGAATCGTCTTCTTCCTATAATAATTAAATCAAACGTCTAAGCTTTTCACGCTTCGCGCGGGAAGGGGAAACTGAATTCAGACGAGAATTAAGAGTCGAAAACAGTACACCCAATCGTCTGCATTCTCTAATAGTTTAAGGAAACGTTAAGGCCTTCGCGCTTCGCGCGAGAGGGGGAAACTAAATTCAGATAAATAGGGCTAATTAAGATCCGAAAACGGTGCAACGAATCGTCTTCTTCCTATAATAATTAAATCAAACGTCTAAACTTTTCGCGCTTGGCGCGGGAAAGGGAAACTGAATTCAGACGAGAATTAGAAGTCGAGAATAGTACACCCAATCGTCTGCTTTCTCTAATAATTTAAGGAAACGTCAAGGCTTCCGTGCTTCGCGCGAGAGGGGGAAACTGAATTCAGAGAAATAGGGCTTATTAAGAGAAAACCGAATTCAGACAAAGATTAAGAGTCGAGCACGGTTTAACAAATCGTCTACTTTCTCTTATAATTTAATTAAACGCCAAAACTTCCGCCCGGGAGGGGGGGGGGGGGGGAGGGGGGAACTGAATTCAGATAAGGATTTACAGTCGAGAACGGTACAGCAAATCGTCCCCTTTTTATAATAATTTAATGAAACGCCAAAGGTTTCGCGCTTCGCGCGGGAGGGGGGGGGGGATTTATTCAGACAAGGGTTAACAGTAGAGAACGGTACAATAAATCGCCTTGTTTTACTAATAATTTAAGGAAACGTCTAAGCTTCCGCGCTACGCGCGGTAGGCCTATCACCCACACACCCCTAATGAGCGAGCGTGTGTGTGTGTGTGTGTGTGTGTGTGTGTGTGTGTGTGTGTGTGTGTGTTTGTGCGCGCGCGATCTCGCGCGCTTGCGTAAATTATTGTGGGCGTGTGCTACTGCTAGTATGTGATGGCTATCGCCGATCATCCCCCCCACTCCTCGGTACGGATTTACGCCCCTGGTATTATTTCAGGCTCCAGTGGTTCCTACTATTGAATTTATAAGTTATTACAACAATGTTTAAATAATGAAACATTTGTTTACACATTATAAAGAGTACAGGGCAAATGGGAGGGGACCTCCCAATATGCGTCACAGAGTGGCCAATTTGGATTTGAACGATCGCACCTTTCAAAAATCATAACTTTCTTGTTTTGTATCGGTTTTCGCCCAAACTTTCCCCGACTATTTCTCTTATGTGTCTGCTTCTAATAAACCAACTTGATATCAGGGTGGACTTCCCTTTTAAAGGGAGCGGATCGCCAGTTTCCATGTGCAGAAGGCCATAATTCGCTGACACCAGACTTGGTGGAAATACCATTAATGGGGGTACAAATTTGCACACAGCAAACCCATAGTCCAGTCAAGAATTACTCCCTAATCTCTCGGAGAGCTCGAGAGTCTTCGGGCAAATCAAAGCATTACATAAGGTCCAATGGTCATAAAACTCAAGGCTAACCCTGGTGATTGACAACACCTGTTATTGGGTAAACACCCGAACGGTGTCGAATTCCCCATGAGAGCCGACTACTCAGTGACTTTAACCTTAACAGTGCCGGGGGGGGGCGCTACGATGTGTTTTCCTTCGAAAATGTACTACCCACAACAATAAGAGGGGGAGTGGGTTGAATACACCCCCATCCTCCTCCCTCCCTTTTTAAGTATTAATTAATTACTTACTCATTCCTCTCTTCAAAAATTAGATGCCTTGTAAAATAACAGTTTTTTTCGTGAGGGAAACCTTAAAGGGCAATCCAACCCTATTAATAAGTTAATTTGTATGAAAGCAGAAAAATAACAGAACTTAATGGCAAAAGTTTGAAATGAATTGGACCAATAGTAAGGAAGTTATGAATGTTTGAAATATGACATCACTAAGTCTATGCGAATCTCAAATTGGTAGTTTGGTTAGTAGATTATAACGTAGGACGTGGGTAACTCTTCCATTTCCCGTGTATACAAATATCCATAATTTTTTGTTTTTGTTCTCGTAAATTCCTTCTCCCTTGGGGCACTACTTAAAATATATTATAGATAGCATACAAGTGTAGGTCTTCAAAAAAGAATAAAATTTTTAGTCATTTTATGTTGGAACAGATTGACGTTATATACCCCTTCAGCCAATTTCAAGTGTCCATAGTGATTACAACTTTCACAAATTCATAACTTTATTACAATTAGTCAGATTTAATTGAAACTTTCATCAGTTAGCTTCTCTGATTTGTCTGCTTTCGTTTAGAATAGTTGTCTATTGGGTGGGATATCCCTTCAATCTAATTAAGACCTGCCTCGACCTATTGGTGCGTTTCAGCAGGGAGGTGAAAGAAAGGAGTCGAAACTCTTGTAATTAATTTATTCAAACGCATTCGTGAGTTCTAAAGCGTAACCATGGAATGTGTAATATTCCACTTCGCTTTGAAGTTCCATGCTCCTAGCCGCGCTTCCACTGCGGTGAATTCTGGGGGCCAGGCACCATTTTTACATTTATTACAAAATATTAAATTACCGGCAAAATGTCGGTGTAAATGATAAAGTTTATATGGGGATTGTATTGGGAATAGTGCATCAAACAGTATTTCAAATTTAGGACTCCACCCATCCTATAATTTGTGTGCCAGAGGTGGTAAAAGAAAAATTAGATCCTGAAAAAACTCAATATTATAGAATAATCCGCTAATTTGTGCATATTTTAATTTCCCGTTATGTAATCGATGTAACTTCGATAACTATAAGTTTGCTAATGCGTGTTTTTGCGTGTTTTTTTTGTTTGTTTGCAGTTGGAAAAAGGACGAAATTACAGAAGTTTGTGTTCGCTTGTTCTATTCTTTACACATTTAACAATGGATGAGAAATCATTTAAAGGGACAGCGAACAGTTGCTGTAATACCATTTTCTGGTGGAGGAATTCTAATCCTGAAATTTCATGCGCTCTTTTATCCCTCCACCTGGTCAACAGTTGCAGATTAGCGCAGACCTTTTCGGCGGCTTGGAGCATGGGGTCAAAGGAGAGCGGCTTGATTCCAGTCCTTCTCTTTCACGTCCCTGATTTCAGTATGGTTGATCTGAGTACCCTGACATGCTCAAAGTGTCGCCATATGGTCATAGAATATCAACTACGTTGAATATACGTCTGTAAAATCACGATGTGATTTCGTCGAACTTTTATAAATCTTATTCCGCTCTCTCATTTCCTTCTGTGACGTAACGGGGATATGACTATGAGTACAAATCAAAATTGTAGTCACAATGGCGTTGGTAGAGACTTTGCAAAAGCATTGTACCAGAACGCAAACAAAATCTCGGTTACACCTTCTTGATATAGGCTGACATATCGTTGATATCTGAGAACAATATCGATATTGTTCCCTAAGTTTTGGCTTATCGCATCAATGAGATTTTAATCACGAATGATTAAAAAAGCAGATTAGCAATTAAGAACAAGTCTAACCTTGCTGTAGACGTAAGAACTTCACCGACTGCTGCTGATGCTCCTTGAGGAGGAATGTCGACTACTGTAGATGCCAACGGTCTCGGAGATGTGGAAGTTGTGTTCCCTAGTGATGGCTTGGTTATTCCTGATTTTGAGAGAGGGAAATGATCGAGTCGAAATGCTTTATATCATGTAGTTTTTAGAATTTCTTCATATGTTCCTTTGTCACCTTCTCTGCATTTACAATGAAATAAAGGTAACTTTCTAAATCCTATCTCTATCAGAGGCCGTAATGACCAAATAAATTTAAAAGGATTGCAATCTAAGAAAAATTGAAAGGATAATAGTTTGTTTGTTTTCTAATTTGTAATTAGGGCTATTTGAGGAGTTGAATAATTTAGAAAGTTATAATAGGGAAATGCTTAGTTGTTTCCTACATCAGACAGAATTTTCGGACTTCCTTGCCTCCCCCTATGATGTAGATAAGGTTGAAAATGTTTTGGGCAAATACTCCCATGCCTTTAGCATATCTGATCATGATATAGGGCAAAGTAGTATCATCAAGCACACTACCCCCTCAATGATGTTTCTGATTGCAAGTCAGTTAATTTCTTCAAAAACAAAAGTTGAAGCAGTTTCTTTATCTCAAATATGTATAGTTACTTATCTTATGTTTATATTTGTGTTATATGTTTTTTTTTTTCTGTTTTTTTTTTTTTTTTTTTTTTAATCTTTGTTTTTGTTTATCTTTGCTTTACATTATGCTATGAATGCTTAAAGAACTATGCTTTTACAAGGCCTTAGGGCTTTATTTATGTAGTTCTCCATTTCATTTCTAAATTTTCCAAATGAATAATTTTGTATCTTTTGTATTAATGTAATTTTTAATCGAGAATGAAGTAAATAAGAATTCAATTCAATTCAATTCAATTCAATGTTGCACAGCCATTTCTAGAGAGGTACCGGCGAATCACTCCCTCAATATGCGAAGAAGTGCGTGTACACATTAGGTCTGTGCATGAAGCAGGCGTCATTAGGGAATCATTCGTCCAGTATGCAAGACCTGTCGTTCGTGCTCGCAAGGAAGATGGAAATTTGAGATCACTCCCTCAATTTACGAAGAAGTGCGTGTACATTAGGTTTATGCATGAAGCAGGCGTCATTAGGGAATCATTCGTCCAGTATGCAAGACCTGTCGTTCGTGTTCGCAAGAAAGATGGAACTTTGAGATTTTGCATTGATTTCCGCCAGCTTAATTAGCGCACAATCCGCGATTCATATGGTTTGCCAAGAATAGATGAGACGCTCCAAATGCTCCATGGTGCAAAGTGGTTTAGCTCCTTAAACCTTAAATCTGGCTACTGGCAGTTTGAAGTTGATGAAAAAGACAAGCACAAGACTGCAGTTGCACTTTCCCTTCCGATTGGATTATAGGAGTGCAATCGCATATCTTTCGGACTTTGTAATACTCCCAGCACTTTTCAAAGGGCGATGGAGAAATGCCTAGGAGAATTGAAGCACACTTGTTGTGTCGTTTATTTAGATGATATAATAGTGTATGGTAAGACTATCGATGGACATCTTGTGAGGCTCGAAGCTGTAATTGCTCGCTTGGCGAAACATGGCTTTAAGCTTAAGGCGTCAAAGTGTAAATTGTTGCAAACAAGATTTTAATATTTGGGCCACATCATTTCAGAAAGAGGAATTGACACTGACACATACAAAATTGAATCTCTAAGAAGTTGGACTACACCGGCCTACTTGTGTCCGAGAGGCTCGTTCTTTTTTTGGATTTGCTAACTATTACAGGAAATTCATCCCTGGATTTTCTAAGATAGCCACACCTCTGTATGATTTCATGGGTGGACCCCGTAAGAAGAAATGTAACCGTAATAACCCCCCACATATGCATTTATAGTTGAGGAGTATGAAAAAAAATCAAGTATAACATAACCCACCACATACGGAAGTAAGGACTTGGGTTCCATGCAGGCCCTATTCTATGTCAGTGTGCACAGGTGTGTCAACTAGTCTACACATGTGTGACTTTTATCTAGATTAACGATGCATATCAATGGGCTCTCATGGAGAATTTGACACCATTCGGGTGTTTGCCCAATAACAAGTGTTATCAATCACCAGGATAAGCTTTCAGTTTTATGACTAACAGGCCTTATGTAATGCTCTGCATTTTTTCCTTCAATCACCCCAGATGGAAAAATTATTATCTTTACATTTCACTCACTCAAAGACTCTCCGAGAGACTATAGGGGTGTTTCTTTATGAAATCATGGGTTTGCTCTGTGGGATATTTGTTTCAATACGGAGCAAAATAGTTTTTGGTGGAGTCTCAAGTCCTATATACCTACCAAACTTAAACTTGATTGGAGCCGTACGGATGTTATGTAGTCCACACTTGAGTGACATTCCCTTGCAGTCTTTAAGCGCTTTCTTCTCACTGCAGTTCGGTCTCGGGCACATGAAGCGGACATCATACTCGATCCTTCTAGCCCAGTGCTGAATAAGGCTATCAAGGGTTTCTGTTACAAAGTCCATCACCTGCCATAAATACACAAACAGCACCAAGGAAGATATTTTAAGCTCACTTAACTTTAAAGATTAAAGATTTAAATTCACACCTCATAGTAGACAGATTTACAATGACTCTGTCATTAGGATAGTGCTTTGATCACAAGTCATATTGACTTATATTGTCTCTTCAGCTAACAAAGTCTGGGACATATGAACAGGCATTGCCGATTTGGGCCGAGGAAAAAAATTATCCCCTCATCTTCCTAATACCCCGGTTACATATAGACGCCGCTTCTACTACGATGGAAAAGTGGCCGAGAGCGTGGCCAATCGGGGCCAATCGTGGGCCAAAAAGGCGTGGGAGGATCTCCATGAGTGCGGTTTGGTCGGGAAGCTGCATGCTCTCCCAACGCTTATTTTTCTTAAAAATACACACATACAAAATACCAAAGGGGGAGGGGGGGGGGTTTAACCCCCTAAACACCCCCCCCCCCTGCGTACGCGTCTGGTTGTAATACATTGCCCCGAAAAAAATGTGTTTATTTTGGTCCGCGGTGCCCCCACGCGCCGAAATTTATGACCGCGGATCCTTCAGGATTTCGAATATGGTTTAACTTAACCAGACTTTCAGAAACAGAAATGGAGTTAATTCTGCCTTCAAATGTAGTTGATTTCCAAGTCAAATTTAAGTGTAATTGGTCTAACTTTACTATTGTCTACTCTGGACTTTCCAAACTCAACGTTCCACCACACTTCAGAACATGGGCCTTTTACTTTGAAAACAACTACAGTTAACTCTGCATAACTCAAGAACATGTCAAGTTTTTTGTAAGTTATATTCATTTTTTGGACCATCCTATGTAAATCATGTGTTATTCACTTCCTAAGTCGAATTTGTTGTTTGTGGTTTCAACTGATTCGACTTATTTCCACAGTTACCTGTACTTACTTATTTCTATTAGAAATATGTGCTTTGACACAAAAGCAAATTGTTTACTAGTGATAGTCTCAATTTTGGGGTTCAGAGGCCTTTCTCAGATGTGTACTTTCCCAGATATGTTTTCCAATTGAACACAAAAATGATTTTGTGGACGCGCATAGTAGATAGAAGAGAACTGGTATTCGCCACCATCTCTGTTCATTTATAAAGAGTCGTAATTGAAACCATCGTGTTGAGCTACTTACCTCTTTGACAGCACTTGGGGCTGGAGGTTGATGGTTATCCCCATCATGATCAGAATCAGCAAACGTTCCTTTGAATACAGTGACCTGATGTGTTCAGCATCAAAGGGCAAGGGGAAAAGATTTAGAAATTAATAATATGATGGTTTGGGATTGTGTACAGTTGATAACTAAACGAATTGTGCTATATCAATAGCATTGTATTTTGTTCGGCAAAGGAGAAACATTACAAATCAGAAAGAAAACAAATTTGAACAAGTACAGATAATGCAACCACCGGAATGCCAGGAACAGAAAAAGTTAACTAAATAACTGGCATAAAGCGTTTTGTATTTTGAAGTATCAAAGAAAAACATAATCCCAAAGATTAAGAGAAAGTATGCTGAAAGAACAGATTTATTCCTACCTATTGATGTTACTTATGACAATTTACAAGAGATATATGTATATAACAGAAGATATTCTGGGCATGATGGAATGCCTTTTTGCATGACATGGGTGTAGCCATTTTCTTAATAATGTGACGAACCATGTGAACATGGACTTGTATCATGCACCAAGCTCTAGTTGGAGTTACAACAATTTTGCCTTTCATTGAGGGAGTGTATTTTTTTTCCTTTAACAAGATTAAAGGTGAAATTTTAGAGGTCAAATAAAGTTTTTAAAAATATATATAGAAGACAATAATTGCAAGTCTATTGAGAAGGGAAAATAGAACATCAACAGAGAGTTTGTAGCATGTAAATTTCCAAATTCAAAGCCTGTACAGTAGTCAACATAATTACATTCCGAAATTTCCCTCAATTTATAATTTGTTTGTGTGTGTTTGTTTTATTGAGTTTGTTCTTCAGTATACACAAACTAATTTGCAAGAGAGCACTGTATTACATAATACAATTAAAAGGCAATGTAAGACAGAACAATTATAGGATAACACAATATACATAACATTGAAAAAGAAAACAAGAACAAAAAGATGGATTGAAAATAGAAAAAAAAATTGGGCTTGTGATCACATCTTAAATACACTTATCAGCTTAGAATGTATGTGTATTTAAACCCCCTCTCCCCCCCCCCCCCCAAAAAAAAAAAAACGCCAAAGGTGAGATATTATGAGGTTCCGCTTTTCAGAGCACTGAGAACCAGAGCTTGATACCGATGTATAGGTAGAATTTTCAGGGTTATTCAATGCAATTCTTTCAAAAAAATAAGAGCCCTGATCTGAAAAGCTCTGGGTTCTCTATGCATCAACAGTATGATCGTCTTTAGGAGAATGACAATAACATTGCCCGGTGGAGGTTATCCATTGCCTATGAAGGGATCCGATGTGCAGCCTCAAAACACTTGACCTACAATTCAGTATCTCCACCATACAAAAAAAAGGTATCACTGACACTTGACTCAGACCTTGATAGTTGCTTCACGAGGAGGTAGCATCTCTAGTAAGGCATGATGCTCTTCATCAACCATTAGACTGATGTGACGATAGAAAAGATTCACTGGTTGTCCATCTCTTTCACCCATCCATCTGACTGCTCTCGTCATCAACCGATGAAACAGCCCATCTGTGGAAATAGCAAACAAGAGAGATGACCAACATATTATGGCTAGCGACGTTTTGAAAGCCTGCTCAAAAGAAATATTAACTGCAATAATACTTCAAGACAATTATATATTTCTGAGAAACAAAATACAAGTTTCCAAAAAGATGGACTAAACTCCGACTATTAAAATAGTAATAACTATGTCTAGTGGTTTGTACACCTAACCGCCCTGACACGTTATTTTACAATATATTATTCTACATTTGCCACTCTCCACCTAGGGGTTATAAGGGTACCGGTAGGGAAGGATTCCTTGATTCGCTGGGAGCAACCTACAATCTGTAGCACAGCAGAGCCGGGGTAATATTGGAGCACCTTGAGCACCTTGCGTGGTGGATATGTGCACTCTGATATTATACAAATATACACTGCCTTGAGAGGTTCTGGTTAAAACTATGCGCAAGAGGTGACTCCAACAGTACTGTTTGCTGAGGGGCACAGCCCCGAAGCAAATGGTACTTTTGAGGTCACCGAGGCCCATAGTTTAACCAGTACCTCGAATAGAAGGCATGGTATATTTGTTTTATATCCTGCATAAACAACAAAAAAAAAAAAAAAAAAAAAAAAATTAGAACAAAAACAAATGTCAATTTTTATTTAAAAGAGAATTAAAATATTTTGTTTTCATTAAATTAAGATTTGAAGAAAAAAAATTATTCAATTAAAAAAAAAAAAATCACATTTGTTTTCAACTCCCAAATAGTAAACCAAAATAGTACTCTCATATAGTACTTTCTAAAAATAGGTCAAATATTTCTGGTCATGTGACGAGCTCTCAACCAATCAAAAGTCAAAAAAAAATTTGATGCAGGATATAATATCCAATATTTATATTATCATTATCATTAAAGCAAATGAAAAGAATACTGTAGACAAATCTGATACCAAAACAATATCATGAAAAGTCTGTAATTTACCCCTTTTGCTACTCAAGGTTGAAGGCAATCCTTTAATCTTTAAATCAATACGTGAGTTGGACATAGTGAACTTCTTGTTTACTCTGGATACATTGGTCATCCTTGGTAACAACCTGTAAAGGCCAGTCAAACCTGTCTATTGAGGACACTCAAGGAAAATAGAGCAAGTGGCCACTATAGAAAGGTGGTCTGTAAGGACACATATTGCTTTCTCAAGAGAGACAAAATGCATGGTCTCTCTAGACAGGAGGCATTTTATAGAGAGGTGGCCACTTCGACAGGTTTGACTTTATACAAACCTTGTTGCAATCTAATTGCCATACAGTCTCTTTGGAGTAAGAAGAGCATTAACTCAGCGATACAGTACACGTGTTAACACCCTTCTGGCTGTAAACAGATGATGAATTAATTCTCACCTGTTAAGAAGCCCCTGAAGTCCACATAGAATTCTGTAGAAGATTTAATCAGTGCAATCTCTTCTGGGGAGCAATGGGACGTCAGCCTGGAAGGAACGTAGTAGCGCTTCTTTACCACTTTCCCTGTTGCATTTGATACCTAAAATATTAAAACATATCCAAACACTTAAACCATGAATACAAAACAAAATATACCAAGACAAAAAATACATTTTGTAAAATCCAAGAAGAAAAAGAAAAAAATCAATTCGCATTTCATTCATTATTTCATTTCACACATCCTACACTTCTGTCACTGAATTGTAGCAAGTTTCACAACAACGTGGATCTATTGAGCAATTTTGATTCCAAATTTGGAAAAAGGACATTTTAGTACCATTTGTAAAAGCTGTCAAAACTGTACTTAATCCCTACTTTGCACAGCACAAAACAGCATTTTGAAAGGAACATGTATGGAAAGATATAAACAAAATTATGGTATCAAAATTAAGCACATTTAACATTTCGACATTATGAACCTATTTCCAACCCTGTGTCATTTTTTGTTTTGCAGTATACCTATATAAACAAGCTGGGAAAAGGCCCCTGTTTTGCACCTTTATTGTCCGTATATTTCTAGCGAAAATATTTTGAGGCTTACTTAAAACATGATGTTTAGCACCTGCGATAATTGCTTCATGGTAATTTCCTACCCTAACCGAATGCCTAACTTCAGCACTGGACCAAACAATAAACCCTAACCGTAAATCGAAAACCCAATTACAACCATAACCCTATACCTTTGACAGAATTTGGGGCATTGCTTCGGGAGCACGGGTCAGAGCACCATTTAGCTGGATATTTACCTGAGTGTCGACTCCATCCTGTTGCTCTTGCTGGAGTCGTTCTACAGGAGCCTCACAGATGAGATCAAACTTGGCCATAAGCTTGACTAAGGCCTCATTTTGCTCCAAGGAGCCTTGCCGTATATGCTGAATCAACCTATCCTCTAAGATACCATCCTTCTCAAGAGTGGCCCAAGCATCACTCATAATCCCGTCCTGGAATTAAAACACAATGTAAACTTAATGGCAGTTGGAACAACTGGACATAGGAGTATAGATTGTAAACCATTACTACATGGTAAAGTGAGAGCTTTGTTGCATAAATATTATTACAAAATATGTCTTTACATTTGTATCAATACTCTAAAACTCTGTCTCTCAAGAGACTTCTTTACAGCATTTTTTTACATAGGTCATAGTGCTGCCGTTTACCTTGTCAGTGAACTGTACTTCTAATTTTCTATTTGTTAACACATAGATACATTGTGTTTGAAACCGATGCAGGGGAAATGATACATATGTAAAACTAGTACAGACATTGTTGATGTATTAAGCTCTATGTAAATCCACAATATTCGTTTGAATAGAGGAGAAGGTTATTTCCTCTTTCTGCAGAACCCAGGATGGTAATGACCTGCATTAATACATCCCATAGCCACATGTCTTAAGATATCACGTAGGACAGACTGCATAGGACCTCATTTGTGGTCCGCAATTAGTTTTGTTAATTCCCACTTCCCATTCATTTCGTAGATAAACAAATGCTGCAGCTTACCGCAGCATACATGATTGAGGCTGTAAAAGAGTAAGAGGTTTCTCACCCTTTCTGCAGGATCCAGGATGGTTATGACCTGCTTGAAGACATCAATTAGCCACTGAGGATTTAGGATCACCATGTCTCGTAGAAGAGATTGCTGGTCTTCAACGCCTCCGTAGTAGACTACGTAACCCAGGTCGTGGTAGAAGGTCAGCATCGTGAGAAGTTCACGCTCTGATTCCATCCCGAATGGCTGCGTCAGTTCCTTGGTCTGGGAGAGAGAAAAAAAATGGCTTCAAAATCATCATATCATTGGTGAAAAACATCCCAAATAGTGTATATCAAATATATAAATAGCATAACAGTAACATTACTTTTGAATTACACAAGGCAAATACATAATATAAATATTGATGAAGTATTACTCTTATAGTAGGCAACATGGAGCTTGTTTCTTATGCCAATATTTTAAAGGCACCACATCGTAATATTAAGACGGGCATAAACTAGGCCATTTACAAAATTAAAAGGATATCATTGATGCCTTTATATAATATAGCATTACATATTCCCAACAATACCAGGGGAGTTCTAAGTTTGAATGAAGAAATTAAGGACTCAACTTAAATTTGCTTGAAAATGAAATACATATAAATAAATTTGTTAGAAAATTCGGTACATAAAAATGGCAAATTTGAAAAAGAAAGTGTTTGGATTTAAAGGGATAGTTGAGTTTTGTTTTCAGACCGCAAATGCCTTCAAAGTGCATGGCTATTGCTCTTATTCTTTTCTATGACATTTATAGTGCCCTTTTAGAACCTAAAATTGCTATGAAGATAATTTTAGATCCCATAATGTGTGAAATTTAGCCAATACGATCATACCTATTCAGCTCCACCTTAAAAAAAAACACGGTGGCCGTTAAATAATTACTTAATTAAAAATACCAATCCATGAGCCGGCTAATTGTGGGTAATATAAGCAACACGAAAATGCCAACAAAACAGCCAACATCGGCATTGGCTGAAATACGACGTAAAAGGCGTTATTTCGTTTTTTTTTCAACGTTTTTTTTTATAAATTTGTCAAAATATATAATATTTGTGGTGGTACACAAGTATTAGAAATCGTCATATTTCAGCCGTCTCTGAACCGATTTTGATCATACAAAGATGATTTTGTCATTTAAATATGATGTTCTTTCAAATTTGACACTTAGTTTTTCATTATCTCACACAAAAATAATTTTGTGTAGCGCCCTCTGCAACAGAACTCAACTATCCCTTTAAAGACTTGAAGTTTCAATTTGAACTACATGTATATAGAATTGTTTACTAATTTTCTTCCACAACAATACATAAATTATTTGATTAAATGGCAAGAATAACCGTTGCAGTCCTACCTGATCTAATGACATGTAATTGATTCTATCTGCAGCTAGAGCTTCCTCAAATAAGAGCCATCTAAGTGGAATCTCTTCTCCCATGTAAGGCTCTTCCATCGCTACTTTCTCAATATGTCTCCTCAACACGACCAGCTACAAAGGAAAGTAAGTATTTGTTTATGTATTAATTGTAATATTTTACAACTCGACATGCTGCTCAGATATTGTCGGTTTCACAAAGTAAACAAATGATTGCATCATAATAAAAACATGAAAATACAAAAGCTATATCACCTCATAACAATGATATCAATACACAGTAGTATTAAAAACATATTTTGAAAAACGTATCGAAGAAGATAAATAGTTATCAAAATAATTAAGGCGATGCCATTAAATATTGGATGATAAATTTAAATTGCGCATGTTAAGGAATGTTAAACTTATTACACAAACATATTACTGTAGAGGCAGAGGGGGTGATAATACTAACAGACCAGTTCGTAGATACAATCTGCGCATGATCGGCAGATAAAGGTACAAAATTGTAAAATTCACTGAAACTAATACTGGATACATGCTCACGAAAGTTACGTAATCATTATTCTCATGCTTGCACATGTGATAAATTTTATTGAACACAGGTGGAGGCAATCCTTTTCAGAGGGCAAACAAAGAATGACCTCCATGACTTTAGCTGTGATTATTCCAAAGGCACGAAGTGGGATTTATCTATGACCCCGTTTACAGTAAGCAAAAGGCCGGGCCAGGCCGCGGCCGAGCCACGGCCTGGCCTAGCACTGTAAACGCGCAAAAGGCCAAATGCGAGGCCAAACTGGCCGCGCATTTGGCCCTGCTCTGGAGGTAGTCTCGGCCGCGGCCTTTTCTCACTGTAAACGCACGCAGGGCCAAAAGCGCGGCCAACTGTTACCCCGGAAGTGAAAGTTCACCGTGTATAGGAAATTCGGGAAAAGATTCACTGCAAATCGCACGCGACCGTATCTGCACTGTGACCCCCGGCGCGACCAAAATAACCGTTTGTTTACATGCAGAGCGCCACTGACAAAATATAAAAAGGTTACAATTAAAGCCCCAGTCCCATATAAAGCCGGACCAGCACGGACGAGCACGGACCACTCCGGACCATCCCGGACCATGGTCTGGGGTGATCCGGGATGGTCCGGGATGTTTTGTTCAAAAAAGTGTGATGCTTTTAAGCTACAGTCCCATATACGTCCCGGACTGTCCCGGACTGTCCCGGACCATCCCGGACCCCATCCGGGGTGATCCGGGATTCGGTCCGTGTTGACACCGTGTTGGCACCGGGGTGGTCCTGGATGGTCCTGGATGGTCCTGGATGGTCCTGGATGGTCCTGGGCGGTCAATAACTCACTCCCGGACTGCCACGGATCAACACGGACCGCCCCGGCGCCACTACGGATGACCCCGGACCCAGCACGGTGGCTACACGGATCACCCCGGATCAAACTATTGTCCCGGACCGTCCCGGACCACCCCGGCAGTTTTTGACCGTCAAAAACATCCGGGGTCGACTCCCGGACCGCCCAGGACCATCCAGGACCATCCAGGACCATCCAGGACCATCCAGGACCACACCGGTGCCAACACGGTGTCAACACGGACCGAATCCCGGATCACCCCGGATGGGGTCCGGGATGGTCCGGGACGGTCCGGGACGTATATGGGACTGTAGCTTTAGGCCGCGGCCGAGCCTGCCGCTGTAAACGCACAAAATTGCGGGGCCAAGTAAGCCTGGCCCGGCCCTCGCCCTTTTCTCACTGTAAACGGGGTCTATGTTTAAAAGATCTGTGGATATTTGGGATCATCTGAACCATATACTAACTACAAACTGGTCTATTGCTTTATGTAGCACACAAATGTGGAGAAGAATCGACAATATGTAATTGAAGAATTGATATCTATCTTCCAAAAGGAATACAAAGAAATATATATGTGCAGTTGAATAATTAAACATCATGTCTTAGAGTGAGCAGCTTTTATTATGTTTGTAAAAAGTCAGATATTAACAAATGGGTTATATGTCAGCTCTTTGTCTTTGAAAGAGCATCTCGATATATGCCATAGTTTAAAAAATCGGGACAATATTTAAGACAAAAATAAAATTGAGTCTAAAAGTCCATCACATTTCATCCAAATGACACCAAGCTAAGATACAAGGTGTAGATTGTATTTTGTTACAGAACAATCGACTGCAATATTAGCTTAACTTTTTGAAGTGATATATTATTGTTGAAGTAGTACAAACATTTGGAGCAATTTGTGCAGCACTTTGTAACTGCAAGGAAATGCAACTTTACTTTTTTGATTGGCCGTATTTAACTGGTTTGACTAGATGATCAGTAATACTCTTTTGCTACAAGGTTACTATGGAATTGTGATAGTTAATGAATATTCATAATGTACCTCTTCATCTTTGTCCTCTAAGCTGTTTTCAATGGCATAATACTTGGGGACCACATGGCATTCAAACGGTCTCTTCATGATCGATTCACGGATCTTCCCAAAGGCAAAGCCAATCTAGAAGACAATTGGGAGTGAAATGAACAGAAAATACACATCTTAGTCGTAATATAAAACATAGGAATCTCTGCAAACAAAAAAATGCCGATGTGACTTATTTTTTTTTGAGGTCCTCTCCCATTTGCTTGGTAGTAACAATTTCATGAATAAAAGCTATGAGGCTGTGTAAGGATTACATCTAGGGTGCATGTATGAATACAAAAAAAATGAACAAATAAAAAAATAAATCGTTAACATTTATTTCTTTTTAATCAAATATTGCTCAAATTTTCACTGATCCATTTCTTTAATAAAACCAAAATTATATCAGGATGAACTTTTTAAAATAAATTTTCATTCAGAATAAAGTGTAAATCCACATGTTGCAAAGTTAGTCTATATCTAGTAAAGCTGTTTTAATGCCATAGCCCAATCCCACTGGCAAACTGACTCCTTACTGAATCCGCATGACCAATGTAATGGCCACAGGGTAAGACAGAAAGAAACGTCTGGTATGGGGAATCTTTTGATAAAACTGGCATTGGTCAACCTGACAACGAATCTTATTGACAAAAAGTCTCGAACTGAAAGTTAATTTAGGAGCCATAGGAGATATATGAAGACGTAAAGAGTGAAGAAAAAAGGCGTATCATCTCATATTCATGTCGTTGTCTCAGCGGAACAACCGTCGATATCAGAGACTGAAGTTTTCAGTCTTACTCGGGGTATGCTACTTTTTGCTCGTTTTTAGGCGTGGCAGCCGGTAGTCAGTAGTCACCAGGCTAGCTGTCAATATAACATCGCAATAGTTTGGTGTAGGTGTTGATACCTTTCACTTCGGTTTTTTCACAGTATATCGTTAACAATTATTATGAGAAATGTGACTTGGGTAACATTTTCAAAAATTCCTAAACAGCGCACAACCTGGAAAAAGTTGCTCGATCCGAAGGCAAGAAAAGTTTGAAATCCCTGCACGATCGAAATAGCTTTAAGAAACGTATAGCATAATGCGTGTACCACACGCATGCTACATGCATATGCACCATGCCGTATCAGGACAATTACCCCCTGGGCAATCACCCCCCGGAAAATTACCACCCGGAAAACTACCCCCCACGGACAATTACCCCCCAGAAAATTACCCCCCGGAGAATTACCCCCCGAGGACAATTACCCCCCAAGGACAATTACCCCCCAGAAAATTACCCCCCGGAGAATTACCCCCGAGGACAATTACCCCCCAAGGACAATTACCCCCCGGAAAATTACCCCCGAGGACAACTACCCCCCGAGGACAACTACCCCCGAGGACAATTACCCCCCGAGGACAATTGCCCCCCGAGGACAACTACCCCCGAGGACAATTACCCCCCGAGGACAACTACCCCCGAGAACAATTACCCCCCGAGAACAATTCCCCCCAAGTACAACTACCCCCCTCTTCCGAGGACAACTATCCCCGATGACAATCACCCCCGAGGAATTTCTAACACTGTGACAAATAATGCGAGCTTCTCTCCAAATTGCTCTTTATAGAAAATTTCATAAACTTTCAATTTCTATGTTATTTGTGAAGTTCATTTCAGTGTGGGAGGGGGAGGGGTGGGAGTTGCCCAATTCCCTCGAAGTTTGCTACCGAGTAAATAACAGAAATTACATTTTTTAAAGAAATTCAATAATACATTGCGCGCAGATGAGTACGCCTTACAGCCTCTCTCACCAACAATGGCAAAACAAATAAATTAGGATGTAATATTTCATTTATGCATCCTCTGTCACTTTTTAAGCTGATCGTGTATTTGTCTTTGTATAATGGGCCCTCGACCATGATCCGAAATTAAGGTTTTCTTCACGTTATCTATATAATTATGTTGTCATGCGGGAGTATGATATGCGCAGGTCGAGGGTTCGAATCACGACACCGGCACTAATATCCTTTTTCAAGATATTAACCTGCACTTGCTACTCTCCACCCAGGTGTTAAATGGGTACCCGGTAGTATGCGACCGTCATTGTTGGTCACAACGGTGTCGATTTTTATCCGTGGTTGGGGGGGGGGGGGGGGGTGATAGGTGCCAAAATAATTTCGGCAATGGATCAAAGCAACCAAGAGGTAGAAATGTGTGGCAGGTTGCACCCCCTCCCTTACAAGTTATTAATTTTTTCAAGTCACCCTCAATAAAGATAACATTTCAGAGAATATGGGACCCATGTGGGCTTGCAACTTGGGTTATTATCCTCTCAAGCGCGTAGCAAGGATTTTATTTTAGGGGGGCGGTAGTGAGCACGCGAAGCGCGCTCCCTAAAGGGGGTGGCTGCAGGGAGGGGGTTTTTCCCCGTCCCACGCGAAGCGCGGAAGCTTTGATGTTTCATTTAATTATTAGAGAAAGAAGACGATTCGTTGTACCGTTCTCGACTCTTAATCCTTGTCTAAATTCAATTTCTTTTGACCTTTAATTAAATTATTAGAGAAAGAAGACGATTCGTTGTACCGTTTTCGACTCTTAATCCTTGTTTGAATAAAGTTCCCCTTCCTTCGCGCGTAGCGCGGAAGCTCTGACATTTCATTAAATTGATAAAGAAAGAAGACGATTCGTTGTACCATTCTCGACTCTTAATCCTTGTCTGATTTCAGTTCCCCCCCCCCCCTCCCGCGCGAAGCGCGAAAGCTTTGACGTTTCATTAAGTTACTAAAGAAAGAAGACGATTCGTTGTACCATTCTCGACTCTTAATCCTTGTCTGAATTCAGTTCCCCCCCCTCCCGCGCGAAACTTCGACGTTTCATCACATTATAAGAGAAAGATGACGATTCGTTGTACCGTTCTTGACTCTTAATCTTTTTTCTTCCTACGTCCTCTTCCTTTTTTCTTTCTCTCTCTCTCTTTTTGTTTGGCCTGCGTTTTTTACGCGCGCCTGTATACGCGCCTGTATCCTTTCTGTCTCTCATTATCTCTCTCTCCCACTCTCTACTTCTTTTTTGCACTTTTGCGCTTTGCGCTTGATATTTAGCTCGTTGCTTTTTAACGCTGCGGCTTTGCATTTGGCGCACTGCATTTCTATGATGCTGTTGACTGAATAAATTGATCAATTCCTGATGAAGCCGTATGAGCGAGAATTCAATTTATTCTTGTCTCATATACGGATGTCTCATTTATGTATTATGAAAATGAGATAGCAAAATGTGTATATTGATGGTCATCTTGCGAGTAATAACCATTAACTACTCTCATCGGGCTCTCATCATTAATGTTTCTCTTCATTTTTTTTTTGATGGTGAATTGTTGGGGGGGGGGGATGATTGGACAGGCCACCCCCCCCCCCCCCCGGGATCGACACCCATGAACATGGCGAGTGCCTGAGTCATGCAAAATGGGAGAAACTTTTCATTTTTTAAGAGGGTACCATGACTCAAAAAGTTGAAATAACGCTGCTCAAGAGAAATGTATTTCTATGCATTTTGAGAAGCGCTTGACAATTAACTAAAACTTACATCCTTCGTGGAAATCAGCAGCCGCACTGCCGTTGTATAACTTACACTGTCGCTCATAAAGGTGGAATATTTTAGTTTTACCCCAATTTATGGAATTATTTTAAAAATTATTTAAAAATAATAGATCTAGATAATAGTTTACATTCTCAGATTTTATTGAATAATAATTTGCTAATGTGTGTTTTTGCGGGGACTGCTAAAACATGTGTATGCTACTATGCTTATTAACTAGGGGACTTACGCCCTCAAGTCATAAATGACAGTAATGAGGATTAATGCCCCACAAAAGGGCACTAATATAGCACATCGACACGGTTTTGATCCTGGGGCCTCACAGTTACGAGGCCATTGTTTTGTCACTGAACTATGACTGTGCGCAGCGGGGACTAGGGTAGGGGGCAGTTTCCATAAATTTAAAAAAACACAGAAAATGCAATAAATTTTCAATAATTTATTGCATTTTACCCCGGTTCCCAACATAAAAAAATCCTCTGGACGGCTATGCATTATGGCTCAAGGCATGGGCACACAGAAGATTTGTTTATGTTGGGAACCGGGGTAAAATACAATAAATTATTGAAAATTTATTGCATTTTCTGTGTTTTATTTTATTTATGGAAACTGCCCCCTACCCTAGCCCCCGCTGCGTACAGTCATGGTTCAGTGACAAAGCAATGGCCTCGTAACTGTGAGGCCCCAGGATCAAAACCGTGTCGATGTGCTATATTAGTGCCCTTTTGCGGGGCATTAATCCTCATTACTGTCATTTATGACTTAAGGGCATAGGTCCCCTAGTTAATAAGCATAGTAGCATACATATGCTTTAGCAGTCACGCAAAGCACACATTGGCAAATTATTGATCAATAAAATCTGAGAATGTATACTATTATCTAGATCTATTATTTTTAAATAATTTTTAAAATAATTCCATAAATTGGTATGAAAACAAAATATTCCACCTTTATGAGCGACAGTGTATATGTATTAAAGGGAAATGTTTAGTAACGAGGAAGACAACGTGCTAGTATTTGAGCGAATATGGGTTCATGAAGGGGGTCTTATAGGCTCGTAGCCATCTCTCAATGTATCAGATCGTCTTTTGCTATTGAATCCTGATTGTCCACGGGGGGTAGTTGTCCTCGGGGGGTAATTGTCCTCGGGGGTAGTTGTCCTCGGGGGGGGGGGGTAATTGTCCTCGGGGGTAGTTGTCCTCGGGGGGTAATTGTCCTCGGGGGTAGTTGTCCTCGGGGGGTAGTTGTCCTCGGGGGGTAGTTGTCCTCGGGGGGTAGTTGTCCGGGGGGTAATTTTCCGGGGGGTAATTGTCCTCGGGGGGTAGTTGTCCTCGGGGGGTAATACTCCGGGGGGTAATTTTCCGGGGGGTTATTGTCCTTGGGGGGTAGTTGTCCTCGGGGGGTTATTCTCCGGGGGGTAATTTTCCGGGGGGTAATTGTCCTTCGGGGGTAGTTTTCCGGGGGGTAAATTTCCGGGGGGTGATTGCCCAGGGGGTAATTGTCCTAGAACCGCACCATGCAACTAAACGGAAGTATTTAATTCCCAGAAGTGGCTCGAAATTACATCCAAGAGGCGCATGCACCATGCGGCATCTGGGGGGGGGGGGGGTATTGGCGATAGCAATAATTGCAGAACCGTCAGGAAGAACAGCTGATGCTGAAAAGAGCTTCCTGTGGTATTCAAAATTATTAGTTTATTTTCAAAATAATGTTTATCATAAACCATTACTTTTTCCTTTTTCTCTTTTGCGTTTCCTTGCACACTGTCTCGATGGGTTCCAACGATGAATATTGGTGGAGATTTCTGAGCGGTTTTAGACGTATCCTTATTCCTGGCCGAAGAGGGCGCCACAGCATGGGCGAAGATGGAACACAACCAGAAATTGATGAACTCTAGACATGTCAGTTCTGATTGTGCACCTCCTTTAGCCTGTGTATTAAAAATGTAAAAAATTATATATATATATATGACAAGGCCAATGATAAAAACGCGTAGAAACACCAGGCTTTGTAATTATTCTAACTGGATAACGCATACATATCCCATTCCTCATATCCAACATAATTTTAATTTGTGTTGTTGTTGAATGACTTGATTTATTTATCTTCATTAACTCCCAAAATAACTAACCGATTACAGCATGATGATTAAATCATATAATGAAAACATTATCACATTTATGTTTTTACTCTGTAATATTACCATAAAATAATCATGAAGAAGGATTGCACCACAAACTAAGCTTGAAGGTGGCAATTCTTTATAAACTTTCATTATATAATATATGGTATTGAGGAAAAATACTTTATACTATACTAACAGAAATATAAATCATTGAAATATGAAATACGAGGTGTTTGAGAAGAATTCAGGAGGAGGTGGTTAAATAATCATAAAGAGGAATAGCAGTACTCCTTGATTTGTAATTATGGAACATTACCAGCTAATACGATTGATAATTTTATTCTCATAAATTGATCGCTTCAATGACATGCCCAAGTGTGGAAATTATTAGAAGGAAGACTGAGTAGGCCAACGTGTATTTTTCTAGAACAGAGACGGACTTTCACAGTGATGGAAATTCAACTATTTAATCTCACACCATACTCTCAAACGGAAAACAAGTCTAATAGATGACTGATTTAATTGTACCAACAATATACACATCAATTAATCCCGAAGGAAACAGATAGTTGAATCTATAATTTAAAAGAGTTGAAATGAATAATCAAGGTATTTATACTTTAAAAATACATTTAACTCGGTTATAATGATTAATAAGAATATGTAAAACTTTACAAATTGAAATATGTTTACCAAAGAATACATAACACTTTCTATCATTCGTCACTCCCCCTGTAAAGCATAATAATTTTTTAATAATCAGTATAAAATGAAATAAAAAATACCATTTCATAATACTTGTCCCTGGATTCAGGAGGAACGACCGAATCCAAACTTCTACTGAGATCAAAGACTATCACATAAATGGCTCGCCATGTCAGAAACACCTAAAGGAGAAGGGAATACAAATGATGCATACGGGTTTAATAACTACCGTGCTATGTTCTTTCAAAATGCTCTATTATTTCTAGAATTATAGGTACCCCCATGTACTGTTTATATACGGAGACATAGGCGAAGGGGATAAACGGAGGCGTAGTAGCTCAGTGGTAGGGAAATGGTCTCGTAACCGAGAGGTCCCAGGTTCGAAACCAACTCGATGCACTAGTGCCCTTTGGTAAGGCATTAATCCTCACTAAAACATTTCCCACGGAAATGACTTATAGCCACCTTGGCTGCTTACTTACAAGCATACATCTGCTTTCCTAGCAGTCAGTTAATACAAATAAACTAAACAAAAAAATAACAATATATTAATATAAAGAGTACAATTCAGCATTAAGAGCAAAATGTCTCTAAATTGCAATATCTCTATCCAACCCAAGACAAAGCATAATTTCCAAAATTACCAAGTCTCTTGATTTAACTGACTGATGCAGATCCTCTGGCTCCATACCAATAGCCATTATCAATTTATGAGTATCTATGCTACAATAAAATACAGATTAAACAACCACGAGAATACATCAGGCGCGTACACAGGGGGGGGGGGGGGTGGGGGTTGGGGGGTTGGGGGTTAACCCCCCCCCTTTGGTATTTGTATGTGTGTAAACCCCCCCCCATTACCCCCCTTTTTTTAATTATAAAAAAATAATTAAAAAAAATTCCCATGGCTGACCTAAAGAGGTGACCTTACCCCCCCCCCCCCAACGGAGCCAAATGTCAAATTTTCAAATTTCGAGAAAAAAAAAAAGTGTCCTCTCATTTTCTGCTTCTATTAAAACAAAATTAATATCAGGGTTTCTCCTTTCATGCACATGTATAACACTGATGGTTAAAGCAATATGTAGGCCAACAGCTGTGCATAAAATACATGATTTCATGTGCTCTTAACTGAAGCATTACATTGAGACTCGGAAATTGATTAGAACAAATCACAGGAGAAATATCAAATATTTATGACATGAACACTTTGATGATTGTATGGGAGACTGCAGTCAATACAATGTTATCCCTTTTTCTTCTTCTAAATACCAGAATCTAACAATATATTACAAATTTGCTTTCAAGGCACTAAGGTCGAATTTACTCTTTTACCTGATGGGTTGTGTAGTATATGTCGTGTCCGGCAAAGTCCCATATACTTAGTGAGACCCTTTCTTCTCTAGCGCTATCAGTACTGTCTGTTCCTATCTCCTGAGGAATAAAGGAAACAAATACACTTCTACATGAACCTTTATCGTTACATGATAGTATTTTGTCCCCAACAACCGTCCCTACTTCTCTGTTATTTATTTTGCATCAGCTCTCTATCCATTTCTCTATATATGAATAGCTCGGTTCCAGAAGGTACTACATCCATAAATCCAAGTTCTCAGAAAAATACGATGTTTTAATTATCATAGTCAGCAATGTCAGTTTGGAATGATACTTTGGCTGATTATAATGTCGTATGATACAAGTAAAATAACACCCTTTTATCAAAATCTAAGTCTATTTGTTATGAATTTATTTTGTTTTTTTAATTTGTGGATGTAGTACCTTTTGGAACCGAAATTGGATGTCGGACTTTTTGGAACCGAAAATCGTGCATTCTTTATGCAAGTTACAATTCATAGATTGAATGAATATAGTACCTTTTGGAATGGAACTCATTTTTAAATTCTATTTTTACTTTTTTGTTTACAATAATCTTTTCGAAGTATCAGTGTATGAGGCAACTATTTTTTTTTTTATAAAAATGGATGTAGTACCTTTTGCAACCGAGCTCTTCATATATTCTTCCCATTCTTTAGACTCACTCCCGTTTCTCCTCACCTATACTGTCCTTCTGTCTCTTTCACCCTCTGTATTATTTTACTCTCTCTTAGTGCTTACACTTTGTGTGCATGCCTCTCACCCTTTTAATCTGTTATCAATGTTGTTCTATATGCTATGTGTAATTTTACTTTAATTTCTATATATGTCATTGTCTATATACACAGATCGTCTACTATCCACAAGGTCTAATAATCATTTTGTCTATTAATCATTTCGTCTTATGACCATTAAGGCTATACTAAACATCATAATCATCAAATATTTATTAGACTTTATGAATAGTAGACGAAATAGGCATTACATGAAATGGGAATTAGATTAACTGGTTATTAGACTAAACGGACAATATACCAGATGGGTAGTAGACTTATAAATGGTTATTGGCCTAAATGGTCATGGGACCAAATGATGAATAGACGACATGATTATTAGACCATTTGAATTGTAGACGTGCAGGGTGTAGACCAAACGGCATTTCTCCCTCGCTGTTACATCTCTGTAGAAATGTTTCTTTTAAAGTTAACAAATAAGGTCATGATATACAACACTCACTTTTCTGATAACTAGTGGACCTGGTAAATTCTGTTAGCTGCGCCAAAATACGGTTCGCTGCACTTATGAAGAAACAGACTCATCATATTCTGCTAAGTGTTACTATAGTTTGTTTATTATTCTAGGTAGACACTTTTGTTATTTCTGGGTCTCCTGTAGTATAGATCATATAACAATATGGAACAAAGAGGTGGAAGATTCTAGGATAAAACAAAGACATTATAGAAAATCTTTTACATACATGCATTATATATGCAAAACTAAAAGGTTCAAAACTGAATTCTACCTTTAGGTGAACCTGCTTCTTAAGCATTCTCTCCACCAGACTTGCTATTTGATTTGGCATATTGTCATCCTCCTTTTTAGCCTTGGGTGCCTCCACCTTATCCAAGACAAGTCTTTCTGTAATGAATAAAAGAAATATATATTTGTGTTTGTAGGATATATACACTCATAATTAATCTACATCTGCCTCTCTCCGCTCAGGTGTTAAATAGGTACCAGGAAGGATGCGAACGTTAATGTGGTTGGATTGGCATGTGTGCGTTTGTAAAATGGCGCCTGGTCAAAATACTCCCCAGGGGAGTTGTGCGTGTCCACTATCATTCTACCACCTAAATAAGGCCTTCGAATGTGAATACTTTTATTACATTTTGAGTGCCAAGTAACGCCTGGCTGGAATGCTCCCCAGGGAGAGGAGATTGTGCACACAGTGTGTGCGGGCAAGCACTGAATCCAATGACAGGGGTAATAGTATATTTCTAAAGCGCTTAGATACATTTGTATTAAGCGCTATATAAAAGCTAAATATTTGTATTATAATCATTATTATGACAATATTTCATGTAACTGGCAGTTAATAGATCAGAATTGGTTACAGTTTAAATTCATCACTGGATAATAACGACCTCTGTGTGATAACACTTTAAAAGGGGTTTTAACAAGTAAATACTTATTTGTTTTCCACTTTTATTGATACATTATATTTTATGAACAATGAATTAAGGATTGATCGACTGTTCAGAACACAAACAAACAAAACTAAAAACTAAAAATAACAAAAAACATAACAAACACATACACATACCTGCTTCTACAGGATTCAGGCCTCTGGCAAGAGTAGTATCGCTGTGTGGTTCTAAACTTTCTTGATTCTGTACACAAAATAAACCAGTGTTAAGATTGTCCTCGATCAGCTTGCACTAAACCGCATCACAATTAGAAACTAGAATTACTTTTTAAAGGTAGGTGATGAGGTGATCGTTAACACTCTCATTCTGGACCGGTCTAGAGTAATCTATTGTGTCATTGCATGACTAAGAACTTGAAATTCCAGATGCAAAACAGCTAATATAGGATTTCCCGGTCAAATTCGCGTGTTTGTCATTCGAATTCATTTACTTTGCATTTAAGTTTTGCTTTATCATGCCAATTATCATTCAATTTTCCAGTTTTTGTATTCAATTTAGTATTTTGGTATCTTTCATAGATCTGTCATTCAATTTAGAAACTGCTCAACTAGCATTCAAATTAATCGTCACTTGTCGAAGCGTAATTTTTATCATTCAAATTAACACCTGTCATTCGTATTCGTAATATTTTTATTCAGGTTAGGAATGTTAGGGGGAAGAATTGCAACAAACTTTTACAGTTTTTAAATAATGCAGTTAAAATACATGATTTGCCATTGGGGTCTAAGCTGTTATTCCATTTCTTTTTTTTTCAGGACAATGCAGATGGGTGTAGTCAGACAAAAAGTAAAGAAGGGCGAAATCAAGGGATATGGTATTTCTGCACGGACATGTTCATATACCCGGGAAAGGTTGGGGTACCCTCAATCGCCCCTATTTACTATAGACTCGGAATTTTACAAAAGTAATTCACATCGTCTCTTATATCCAGCACACCCTCTGTTTTTCTTAAAGAGTTTCATAGTTTACTTGCCCGCCAGCAGAGCGATTGCTGAAGACATGGCTAAATAATGAATCATGTTCAAATTGTTGACTCTAGCCCCTACCCTAGTCACAATATTGTACCCTTCTTCTATAATGAAATTATGATGAAATGACGATAAATTTATGATGAAACATAAGACAAACAACTTCCTTACATGAACATTTATAAACATACTGAGACCATCAGGTCCGTAGATGCAAGTCGTTTTTTTTTTCTTCTTAACAATCAAACTTAAATGCTGATGAATATCAAATAAATCTAATAAGTATAAGTGTATAAATGCAAGAAAATGAAATATGATGAATACATATGAAAAAACAATCTTGAAAGAAAAAGAATGAGCTATAAAAAGTGTGTAGTACGCGAGAAATGTATATTGATTATTGACCATCAATTTAAGTGCACAAAGTGCTAATTTGAATGCTACAAATGAATTACAATGCTAGAAGTACACCGTTGCGTTGTCAGAAAATCTTGTTGCGCCAAATCGAATGACCAAATAGCGAAAGAAGCACATTGTTCATTAATTTGAATGAAACATACGTAGATTCTAACGAAAATTTCATAGATTTGAAAACTAGAAAAGGGAATATAAACCCGAGATATACCTGACTGCACTAAAACCGTCGAATTAGAACGCAAGACAAATTAATTTGAATGACAAACTCGCGAATTTGGCCGGGAAATACTATACATGTACTAGGGTTTATAAATAATTGAATGGCTAATACTGAGTTAAATATAAACTTGTGTTGAAGTAATGAAATTGAATTTTATAAGAGCATGATGGCATAGAATCCGCTCTCTATTAACAAAGTTTACATATTTTGTGGTTGTTAGACTTGTGTATCAACATTAATATCATAAATGAAATGCATATGTAAAGGAAACAGAGACCGCGACATACTGAAGTGCAGCGTTTTTAACCTTTCTATAGTCGCGGCACCCTTTTGGAAAATAAAAAGTTTCGCGTAGCCCTAATTCCCGAACTACTTTACAGAAGATTCACTTTCCATCTCTCTGGTACACATCACGTGCATGTACAGACCTACGGACATTACGGACACATTTCGTTTTGTAAAATTAGGGAGCGAGCGAAGCGAATGAGCAAAAGCAGTTACACCTTTAGAGTAGTATAATTATCATTTTGTAAACAAAAAACACTATATAAAGATATGGTATCATGTATGCAAGAACCTCATTGCCTAAACCACGAATCCAAATTAATATATTTGTTCATCTCGATGGGCACGAATATAATCCGGATATTCGGGCATCTCGTTGTCCACAATCTTCCTGCTCCTAAATGTTCTGGGCAAGCGTACCAAACAAGTGTGGTCAAAAGGTGATTTCGATATTAAGAAAGATATATTGGAGCTTCACGCTGTCAAACGAGAGTAACTATGTACCTAAAATCACGCACTTTACTGCCTAAATTCCTACTGTTTCTAAATATTGCTAGGGAATGAAGTGAGTGTGGGGAAAAGACTCTTAATTGTCTTTACAACGTTATTTCTTCAAGAAAATACATAAGGTTTCTATTTGTTTTCTTCACGAAATTGATGTTTATTTTATAATGGATCAACCAACAAAATATTGAATTCATTTCTCTCACGGCACCCCAGTTGAAAAAAAAACGCTGCTGTAATGCATTGTAGTCTAAGATATATAATTATCACTTTGTATTTTGCCAATTTCTGAGGTTATTAATTTGTTGTTTTTTTCTGGCAGAATTTAACATCTTCTTCATAGTCATAACTCACCACTACATTTACTTTCATAGATATTTTAGTTTGAATTACTAAACAAGATAGCCATTTTATTCTCTCTCACTGGTTTTCCCTTAAATTAGAAATACAATATCGGCATGTAAATGATAATTACCTGTGTTGAGGTCATGGACATCTTCTTTGCTTTTTTATCCACATGAGCTTTAACATATTCATCCCCTGGGAAAGTTAATCATCAAAAACCATATTCAACTCTGGTTATAAATTACCTGATCTATTTGTGTACACATCTTGACTAAAATATAATTTTCTTTAAGACGTTTGGCTGAAAAGGATATTTTTTTGGTGAGTTTTAACAACATGCTTTCCATTTTAAGAATAACAAGTATAACGGGAAAAAATGATTGCACAGGAAATTAGAAATTCGTTCAAAAATACTTTGCAGTCTATTAACCGATTCGCTAAATTGATATTTGCAGAGCAGTACGAAAACTTTTTAATATCTACAATGCCGATTCAATTATATAATGATATAATTATAATGATATGTCAGGAAACGTGTCAGACAGTAATCATGATGATGATGATAACAAAATAATAATAATGATAATGACGATAATGATATCAATGAACATAAAATAAACAGAAATGAAGATAACAACATTAATGTCATCATTTGTCATTAATTTTTTATTAATTTTTGTATATCTCATGAACGATAAATTAAGAATTGATATAGAGTTAGGAAAACAAATAAACAAAACTGACAAACATCACAAATTAACAACGCAAATAAATTAAAGCTAACAAAAAACAAAATAAATATATAGACGAACCTGCTTCTTCAGGATGCAGGCCTCTGATGCGAGTATCATCGCTGTGTGGTTCCAAACTTGCTTGATCCTGTACACGAAATAAACCAGTATTAAAATTGTCACCGAGCAGCTTGCACTAGCCGCATCACAATTAGCAACTAGAACTATTTGTATCGAAAATAATATCGCTAGTGATATTTTTTTGTCTCGCAATGTGGTCAATAGGAATTTCTAAAAGATCATGACGTTTCGTGCGCTATCTGCAACACTTCGTCAGGTGATAAAAACTAATTATCGATCGAATTATAGACCGCTCCGCCGTTCCTCCCGTAAAGTATAACAGACCCTTGCTTAAATTAGTTTTTATCACCTGAAGAAGTGTTGCAGATAGCGCACGAAACGTCGTGATCTTTTAGATTCCTTATTGACCACATTGCGAGACAAACGAATATCACTAGCGATATTATTTTCGATACTACATCCGCAATGAGTAATATATTTAGCATTAGAACTATTTGCTTAAGCGGTTGATGAAATGATCCTACTCGTTATTCGTTTACACTGTCATTCTAGGCTGGTCTAGAGCAATGTATTGTGTTGTTGCATGATTTACTATGTACCTGACATTCCAGATGCAAACAGCTAATGCATGTACTAGGGTTTACGAATACTTGAATGGCTAATACCGAGTTAAATGTAAACTTGTGTCTAATGACAGAAATCAAAGTATATCAGCATTAAGGAAATGCGTATGCAAAGTAAATAGCGACCTCGATATACCGTAGTGCATTGTAATCCAAGACTACCCATATAATTATCGTTCTTTACTTACTACGCAGGTATATTGCTATCAAATTCTTTGAACACTATTTCCGATATCATTAATTTGTTTGAATTATTGTGATAAATATTTGTAAAACAATTCTGGCTGAACTTCACTTCTCCATCATAATATTAACTCACTATTACAGTTACTTTCATAGAGATTTTCATTTGGATTAACAAGTTCGATAGCTATTTTATTCTCTTTTACTAGTTTACCAGAAATCAGAAAAACGATATCTGTATGGAGATAATAATTACCTGTGGTGGGGTCGCGATCAGCCTCTTTGCTATGTCATCCGCAATAGCTTTACTATATTCATCCTCTTTGAAATTAAATCATCATGAATCACATATTACATTGTAATATAAGATTGTAGGATTCCAGAGTAATTAAGATTACATGTATACGATTTAAATGAACAATTTGATATGCAAGCCTGCTTTTACAGCAAGTTAAAAAATAACCAGATAGCTAGACGTACGATGTCAGGCAGCTCTTTCAATCGTTTTAATACACACTCTGACTAAGATATAATTTTCTTCAAAACGTATGGCTGAAAAATGTATGTTTTACGTGACTTCTAACACAATGCTTTCCACAATAAGAATAAAAACTCTGAAAGGAAAAGTCTGATTTTATCAGTTCGATAATTTGACATTTGCAAAGCCGTACACAAACAGTGATATTGCGATTACATTATAAGGATAATTCAGTTCACTTCTTATATCTATATTACCAATGCAAGAACTATGACTTTGTAATTGCCATGGTAGTAATGATAATAATAATACAAATGATAATTCTAATATTAATGACAATAATAATAACAATAATAATAATGATGATGAAAATAATGATAAAAATGACAATAATAATAAGAACAATAACAAATAATAAATTAGCCACTATAAGTGCTCATAAATTGTAATATTGAGATAGTAAATGAAAAGATGTAATTTTTCTTATATTCAAGGCAAATATAATATATCCAAAGTTTTGTTTAAGTTATTTAGCGGGTTGCTGTCGAATGCCTGATTCAATTTAATTTACGGGCTGCTGTCAATTGCCATACAGTCAGTATGCGATTAATATTGTTCTATATATCTTCTCCTCTTTTGCTTTTGTGTTTGATTGTTTATGTGTTTTCGTCTCTCATGTTATTTGTTGTGATGTTTTTTAATTGGTCTGCACACTCCTTTACACCTCCCTTCCGCTCCATGCTCTACTGTATGCTACATTTTTCATCTTCTACCTTTATTTTACTGGGGATCTCTATAATTCTCTAAACATGGGTACTAATGAAGACGTCCCTTTTCATAACTTAGATAATGATGAATTATATGACAATGTCCAGTCTGTTCTCGATTAAAATTTTAATCAAAGCTTGAATAACTCTTTTCATGATTCCGCTGTACAATCCATGAACTGACAAAGTAAAAATCTTGAAACTGTTTCTGATCGAAATGATAATACATAACAGCATGCGCCTTCCTTTTATTATACAGAAAGGCAGATTGCATCAAAATATCTCCATAATAGCATAAATGATTTCCTAATGTTGCATTGCAACATTCGCAGCGCCAACAAAAATGTTGATTCTCTGCGCCCTCTCTTATTGAACTCCAAACTCAATTGTTCTGTTATAGGATTATCAGAAACCTGGTTTAACAATAGTACCCATTTACCCTTTTATACTTTACCTGGATATAACTTGATACAAATAACAGAACAGAAAAACAGGTGGAGGTGTCGGCTTGTATATATCGCAACGATATGAGTACAAGTTAAGGCATGAACTCAATTACATGAACGATTTCATAGAAACCCTCTTTGTTGAAATAATCATTCCTAATGATAAAAACATTTTAGTTGGAATCACCTACAGGCCGCCAAATTATATTCATGATGACTTTTTAAAGACTTTTCATGAGTAAATAATACATTTTTTTTACTCGGTGACTTCAATGTTAATCTCTTTAAATATGAAGATGATTCATTTGTCCAAACGTTTATGGATGTACTTGTTACTGCGCGTTTTCTTCCATTAATAACCAAGCCAACTAGAATATCTGCTAATTCGGCTACTCTTATCGATAACATATTTACGAATGCTCGGTGTAGTCTTTCTTCTGGGATAATTCTTTTTGATTTGTCAGACCATTTTCCCATATTTTCACACTTTAAATTTAATAACAACCCCAAATTGAACACAGTTACTACTAATAGCCAACGTGATTTTTCTGAAGATAATGTGAATCTTTTCAAAGAAGAGTTAGGAAATGTGGACTGGTCCGGAATGTACAGTACAAACAATGTCAATGATGCATTTGATGTTTTTATGAATCTTTTGTCATCTAAAATGGATAGTTGTTTTCCTATAAAATAAACGAAACGGTCCAACTACAAAACGATTCCAATGTGCCCTTGGATCCCCCCGGGTATTTTCCGCTCCATAAACAGGAAGAATAATCTTTATATAAAAGCAATTGAAAAACCATGTGAAAACAAAATAAAAAAAGTATAATTACAAAAATATACTTACAGGTATACTAAGAAGATCTAAAAAAAGTGTATTTTTGTAAGCAGTTTCACTTATATAAAAAGATGTAAAGAATACTTGGAAAGTTATTAAGAATGTTTTACAAGGTAACGCTAAAAAAAGCACCGTTTCAAAAATTAACGTAGATGGAGAAATAATAGAAAATCCACAAAATCTAGCAAATGCGTTCAATGAATATTTTGTCGGTATAGGCCCAAATCTTGCCAGTATTATTCCCGACGCTTCTAAACATTTAACAGATTTTCTCAATGATCCTAACCCAAATTCTATTTTTATGGCACCTACAGATGAAACAGAAGTTGCAGGCATAATACGTGAATTTAAGAATAAACAAAGTTCAGGGCATGATAATATAAGTAACGTATTGTTTAAAAAAAATTGAATGTAATTGTGAATCCTCTGCCTTATATTTGCAATTTTTCAATTTCTACTGGAGTTGTTCCCTCAGCAATGAAATTAGCTCGAGTCATTCCTATATTAAAAAAGGAGACAATATGGTTTTAGGAAATTACCGACCTATATCGCTTCTAACTTTTTTATCTAAAGTTTTGGAAAAAATAGTTTTTACACGTACATGTAAGTTCCTGGAAACAAATGAATTATTATACCAGTTGCAGTTCGGGTTTCGTGCAAAACAAAGCACTACTCATGCGTTGTTTACCATGATTAATAAGATTGCTAGTGGGATCGATAAATATGAACATACTGTTGGGGTGTTCCTGGACTTCTCCAAGGCTTTCGATACAATTAATCATGATATACTTTTTTTTTACAAACTCAGTTATTATGGAGTTAGAGGAAGAGCCTTGGAGTTGTTCAGGAACTACCTTCACAATATGCAGCAGTGTGTTTATATTGCCAATGCCCTGTCTAATACGAAAGATGTAAGTTGTGGTGTCCCACAAGGTTCTATTTTGGGCCCGCTTCTTTTTCTTATTTATATCAATGATTTCTGTAAGTCTTCGGAGGTTTTATCTTTTATTCTTTTTGCTGACGACTCAAATCTTTTCTTTTCCCATAAGGACCCACATATTTTGCCTTTCACCATCAACCAGGAATTAAAATGTGTTTCAGAATGGATCAAAGCCAATAACTTATCTCTCAATCTGCAAAATACGAACTACATGCTCTTCAGTAACATAATAAATGAACTTCCAGGCAATGTTGTTTTTTACTGTACCATTACTCAAAGAGTTTTGAATACTAAATTTCTGGGAATAACGATAGATGAAAAGCTTTCCTGAAAGGGGTGCCAGGTAAAAATGTCAGAGGTAAAAATGTCAGAGGTAAAAATGTCAGAGGTAAAAATGTCAGAAGAAAAAATGTCAGAGGTAAAAATGTCAGACGTAAAAATGTCAGAGGTAAAAATGTCAGAGGAAAAAATGTCAGAGGTAAAAATGTCAGAGGAAAAACAGAGGTAAAAATGTCAGAGGTAAAAATGTCAGAGGTAAAAATGTCAGAGGTAAAAATGTCAGAGGTAAAAATGTCAGAGGTAAAAATATCAGAGGTAAAAATGTCAGAGGTAAAAATATCAGAGGTAAAAATGTTAGAGGTACAAGCAAAAAAAATGAGTGCCGTCATAATATCTCAGCACTTTTATCACACAGAATGTCGAGACGTACAGCTACTGCATGGGCTAGTCTATTATATTCCTTTCTTCCAAAATATAAATTTTATAAATGGCTGACGTGTGTTGTATTTCGTACATGTCCTGAGGATAATACCATGTGGAAAATAGATTTTGAAATTTATTTTTTTGTGATCAGGCTTGCATATATATTATGTATGAATGTCTAACATTTTTTGATATTTTGAATTGGTTGATGTGTTAATGTTTGTGAAACGGACCGGTTTGGCCGGTGGCAGCCTACAACCTAGCCCGTGTAACGTTCCAGAGACGAACAAAGTCCAAACGGAGAAATGAAAGTTCTCGACAAAAGTCAAGTGTTAAAGTGAGTAGTGCATTTAGTACAAATAATTACATATAATCACGAGGAATCACGAAAAGTTACATATATAGGCTGGGCGCCCCGAACTCTGCTAAAGCTTTAGCACCTCATGGCGGCAAAGGAAGTGGAGTAAGAATGAGAACAAACAAGAAGTCGCCCGAAAAGTGAAAACTCGCTCCGAAAACTAAAAACCCGCTCCAAAAAGTAAAAGACCGTCTCGATTCAGAAGCTCATCCCCATTTTAAACCCTCCGACGCGTGTGACCCCTTATAAGGGCGTGTCACTACGACGCATTGCGTCAAAATAAGACCCGGCACCATACACACCCATGTCGAAAGGAACTTTGTTAATTTTGCGAACTTATTAAAGATAAAGTTGAGTTCTGGTCTTGCGATTGCATTGTGAAAGAAACGGTGTGGAAGCAATCAGAAAAGGTTGATCATCTAGCATAAACATGTAAGTATTGGTGTGTAGTGCAAGGTTCTGGAGTCATCAAAATGATAAAAACTTTGGCCCAGTCTTGGTAAAGTAACAAGGACTGTACACAGAAAGATATTGATATGGGACTACACAAACATATGGCATTCAAATCGGGCCTCATTTTAAAGTTGTTATTTGTCATATCTGGGATAATTATGAAGTCATTTGAAATAGATTTTCAGGGAATATCTTTTTTCTTTGATGTTCTTCCACACTTGTATAATAAGAATGATAACAAACGCTCACAAATTATTGTTCACCTTTCCCCAGAACTCAACCTTCTCTTTAATTGATGTAACATGGGCGGCTTTCTGCTTTGTATCGGAGTAACAAAGCTGCTTATTGATTTTCTCCCAGACTATTTTATACCGCAATAGTAATCGACAATATTTTATTGCAACGCGCGCACTTCGGGAATGTGATGGGTTAGCATTGATAACATGGCTTTCTGCTTTGTTTCAGAGTATCAAAATACCAAGCCCACAAGAAAGTGGAATTGTCGGAAATATGCATTTATTGGAAATTACATATAATAGTAGTCATTGCCACGCAGTTAAAATGTCCAACAATCTTCAAAAGTGAAGGAGAAGTGGGGGGGGGGGGGGGGGGGGGAGGTTCATAGATATCTGATCCTATTTTGGGGGCTGTACTGACTTTTCTTTTTATTTAATAATTACACCATGGAGCGACAACTCAGCCTATAAAACATGGCCTAACTTCTCGATTTTAGAAATCTTTTTCCCCAGAAGTTTGCTTAGTGTACCAGTACCATTTGCTTTTACAAAAGCATAATATACCGGTATAAATATTGAATAAGGCAGACTAATGGGACATGCATGGTTGCTACTCCGAGTTTCACGCCTTGCAAGCGATCATCAGACAACTGATAGCATTCTTCAAAGTACATGATTCCTCTGCAACCTTGGTACAAATACGCTCAAAATAAGACTTAACTAATACAATACCTGAATACAATATAATAAGAATTACTCATGAGTAATTCTAATTGTATTTTATTAGTTAAGTCTTATTTTGGGGGTATTTGTACCAAGGTTGTAGGATAATCATGTACTTTTAAGAATGCTATCAATTGCCTGATGATTGCTTGCAAGGCGCGAAACTCGCAGTAGAAACCATGTCCCATTAGTCTGCCTGCTCTGCCTAGGCATTGACCACTGTTCGGAAGGATATATAGCAAAGCATAATATAAGAGGAAGGGGGAGAGCAGCCGGATCACCGTGCCCCAGAAGAAGAATACCCCCCCCCCCTCGTCTTCCTTCGGCAATAATCGGGCAAAAAGTCACAATTTGGGGCCGAAAGGTAAATAAATTTAGACTGGGAAAGTGGAAAATAAAGCAGCGGTGAAATAACGACTGCAGAATATCCCTCGTTGTTCTTTTTCGATAAGCCTAATATATAACCCGGGTGTAACCATAACAAACTTGCCACATGATTTTGTTTTTATTTTATACCTCTAACATTTATACCTCTGACATTTTTACCTCTGACATTTTTACCTCTGACATTTTTACCTCTGACATTTTTACCTCTGACATTTTTTCCTCTGACATTTTTTCCTCTGACATTTTAACCTCTGACATTTTAACCTCTGACATTTTTACCTCTGACATTTTTACCTCTGACATTTTTTCCTCTGACATTTTTACCTCTGACATTTTTTCCTCTGACATTTTTACCTCTGACATTTTTACCTCTGACATTTTTACCTCTGACATTTTTTCCTCTGACATTTTTACCTCTGACATTTTTACACCGAGCCGTGAAAGGAACACGTAGATAATATTTGTAAAGTTATTACAAGAAATATTGGCATTATAAACAAGGTCAAATTTTACTTTCCAACTCGTATATTATTAAACCTGTATTCAACGTTGATCCACCCACACTTGAACTACGGTATTATAGCCTGGGGCAATTGTGCTGACTATCTTTTAAATATAATTTTATTACTCCAGAAAAAAGCGCTGCGTGTTATATGTCATTCTGATTTTCGAGCGCACACGGATGCACTTTTTCACACACATAGTATCCTAAAGATTACAGATTTATACAATTATAATCTGGGAATATTCATGTATAATTTAAATAGAAATGAACTGCCAAATATTTTGTATTCAATGTTTTCAAAGAATGTAAATATTCATCATTATCCTACTCGGTCTGCCGAGCTTTTTCATCTACCAAAAACAAGAACTTTGCTCTTAAATAAATCATTTGTATTTTCAGGTCCAAAACTTTGGAACTCTCTTTCAGATTCAGTTAGAAATAAACCCACATATAATAGTTTTAGTAGAGTGTTCAAAAAGAATTTAATACAAAAATATATGTCTCCTACAGGTTAAACTTCTCACAAATCCCCTGTTTCACTCTCTCTCTCTCCCTCTCCCTCTTTCTCTCTCTCTCCCTCTTCTTCTAACTTCCGTTTTTGTCTTGTTTTGTCCTGTCATGTCCTTTTGTGTGTCTTGTCCCATCCTGTCTTGTTTATCTTGTCGTGTTATGACTTGTTTTTGTTATGTCTTGTCTTATCTTTTTATGTATTTTTCCTGTCCTTTGTGTCCCGTTTTGTTATTCTTTTCTTCTTGTATTTTTGTTGGATTATTTAGATACTTTAGAATGGTTTACGAAAATATTTTATTATATTATATCTATTTTACTGTGATTATTTAGACACTTTAAAATGATTTATGATAATAATGTTCATATTATATTTATTCTTGGCAAACTACAAAAACAAGCTATGCTTTCCAGTAGGTTCCTGTTTCATTTGATAATTCTGATCTTACTTTGTCAACTATTTTCTTTATTGTGCAAACAATTGTTATATGAAATGAATAAATAAAATCAATCAATCAAAATATTGTTTAAAGTTCTACTTACCTTTTGTATGTTCATTCCCATGCCCTTTGTTGTGGATTGACCACATTTTCTCGCCAACCTTTGCAACCTCGATACAAATTTCACATGCGCTTGTTGTTTCTACACCGTTCGTTATTGCCTCATTTTCATCAAATCTGAAGCAAAAAAAAAATGATAATATTAATTATAATAATATAAATAAAAATTAGAATAATAATTCGAAGAAAAAAAAGGAAAAAAAAAAATGATATCAATGATATTGATATATACGCACTTATATTCCAAAGCACAAAAGTAAAATTGAAACGCAAAGTATTGAAAACGTTCAACAAGCTAAATTCGGTACAATCAGACATATCCGAGTACAATTAACAAAATCCGATAAATACAGGATGAATTATAAATGTTTAGAAGTTAAAATCACATAATCTATGTAAATCTCAAATTGTTTAATAATGTGAATTAATTTAATGTGAATTAAGTGTAAAATAATTTGTGACTTAATTGGGGATGAAGAGCTCTTCCATATATTGCACAGACAAAAATCATGATTTTAGATTATATCCATAGCACCTTGTCCTAAGGGGTTGTACTCCAAGTAAATAAGAAGGAAACAGAGAGAGAGAGATAGAGAGAGACAGACATCCCATACAGAATACATGTAAACCAGGACAAGTTTTACATTTAGATTCCAACTCAACAAGTAATATGAATATAGACATAACAGCACGGTTATAAATATTGTAGGCATGGAATACAAATCATCACAATAGTGTACACGTAATTTGCACATTCACACATTTGATCACAAACGACCACAGTGTATAATACATGTACATTTTCACTGACTAAATAACCAACAAACGAGAAAAAAGGAGATAATGCGATTAAAAAAAGGAAAAGTAATCACATAGGGAACTGTTTTCATTATCGAGAAGTCAGAATAAACAATACCAAAATCATCTTACTACCCGACCCTTTATTATGTTGGACAAAGATTTCATGTATCCAAAGAGAACAAATTAAGTCAATATGACTAGTAATAAACCTATCTATTTAACTCAAGGAACAATAAAGGGAGAGAGAGAGAGACAGATTTTTTAAAGAGATAAAGGGGTAATAAAGAGATAAAGGGGTAATAAAGAGATTACCTTTGTCCTGTAAGAGTTTTCTTTAGACTTGTCTTTCCAACACGTTCTTGTCCAACAAGCATCAGGCGTGTTCGGAATACTTTCTTCGTGCCAGCTTGAGCTGCCTCGGCATACGCTCGCCGTGCTCTCGGCCCCCGAGCGAGGATCTCAGGCGGTGCCGAAAGACCACGGAAGGGAATATTACCCCGATTGCTCCTCGCGTCATGTTTGAGATATGTCAGTTGGTCGTCGTTTCCCTCGATATTTTCAGTATCATCTTTTATAAGGAAGACCAAGCAAACACAACAAATCCGTCAGGATAAAGACACAAATTTGGCATGCCACAGAGAGCAAAATCGTTCTATACTATAAAACCATGATAAAAGCAAGGACAACCATCGTTGTAAAAATCAAAATATGGGTTTGATATTACTGTTTCACTTTGCAGCTTACACCTTAGTCACACCGAAGAAACCGACTCCACAGCAACTCCAAACTGACCGATTTTTGGCCGTTTGGGTAATGTGACATCTATATATTTTTTTTTCTTCTGGGGGGGGGGGGGGGGCTGATATTGGTCTGGTGTCGGTCTTGATCGTGTGACTTAGTTATTGTATTTAGAAGATACACTACATCCTCCAAGCAAAGCCCCCTGAAATAGACATGGTTGATGACCTGGGCTTTGTCTCATAAAGAGTTACGATTGATCTGGATTGATCGTAAGTCCTGCAAACAAAGCGATCGCACACGTTTAATACATGTTCCTATCTCAGTTGCGATTAAAACCATGTTGCGATGGATTTTAATCGATCGTTCCTCTTTATGAGATGGGTACCTGGTTGCTTGAAAAAATGCCAACATTAAAGATCATCTGTTGAATAAGCATTATACCTTGTTAATACAAATAAATATCCCGCAAATAAATCTCACAAAACTTTTACGTGTAATAACATATTAAAAGGATAGGAATAGGGTCAAATATCCTCAAATCACTTTCCACTGTCCTTACAAATATTGCTTTAAAAAGTTAGAAAAAGATGCTTAAAACAGTCCAACGTGCCTTGGAATAAAAATGAAAAGAAAGAAGAACAGAGTCAGGCGCCTTTTATGGACCATTCTTTAGACTCATTCTCACATTCAAAACGCACTTTTTCGGCGTTTCATTATAATATCTAAAGACATTTGAACACAGACTTGCGTTTATCAACATGCAAATTTGCCCGAAACAGGTTAACAAACCCGCCTTTATGAAAGCTGTTCTGAGAGTTTTAATTAGCTTGGATGATTTGATGGTCTCTGCCCAGTTCTGAAGCATCATCATATTACCATTTCTGGTCTTCGTACCTCCAGTAATCCGGACTCCCAGGTCATGACCAAGTCCCCTTAAAGCACCATCATCTGATATGGTTTCTGCTACTTTGAAGACGTCATCGAATCCATGTGTTTGACCACTATAATATTATTTAAAACAGAATTAAAGCAACTTATACAATACATCTATCAGGCCTTTTATACGTTTTGTATCACAAGTTCCAAAGTGAATAGAGAAACGAAATATCCTATTAAGTTTTCAATTCCTTCCTGTTTTTATATTTTATGTCACTGGTATGCGAATTCATTATCAAACAGGTAGTAACAATAGATTTATGACAAATGTTGATTATTCATTTTCAAATTACACCAATATGTGAACTAGAAGTATTCTTATATTTAATGACTATTTCAATAATTTAGATACTTAGTCATGATTTCAATTAAATAGAAATATGAAATATTTGAACTTTACAATTATTTTACGTTTAGGCCGACATAGAGTTTACTTTATCAACTACAATGTCATTCTCTTAGGATATATACTACGATCCCTTTATGCGCTTTCTTATATCATTTTGGGCAAATGTTCTTTTATAAAACATTAATGTTGGGTACCTGATCAAGGCATTATTATAGTAGACCGGCCAAATATCAGAAAAGCCTCTAGAAAAAAGATTCCATGGCATTTTGGGGGTTATGCATGGCATCCACACTATGTAATAATGTTGCTAATCTCAATCCAGGAAGCTTGAAAACATGGATAATATGACCTTTCCAGGATTAATCCGAGGGACGAGGGATTCATTTGCGACACCAGTTTTTATTTTTAAGTAATGCAATTGGCTTAATATGTAATTATTGTACTAATAAGCCTAATGAGCATATTTGTAGAATATAGATTATTTGGGACTCTATTTAGCTTCACAAATTGTATGTCCAATGTGTTGTTTATGTTGGTCGCAAGGCAATGGTGCCGAACCTCATGAAATGTCTAGGAAATGACGGGGTCATCATACGCATTGATGGTTGGGCTTCAGTCATTGGATTTAGAGAGACTATCGGAAACACACTGAATATGTTTTTAAGCAGATGATAGTGATGGAATTGATGATGTGGTGAGACAGGTACGTACATAGGCCAGGGATGTTGAATACAACAGTGTGAACTAAAGTCAGAACCATTGAGAGTACAAGCCCGACGTTCCTCAAGCTTGTGGCAGAATTCCGGGAAAAGTCATATTAGCTATGTTTTCAGGCTTCCTGGATTATAAAGATTAGCAACATTATTACATATTGCACATAATTAATTGCTAATTAGATTATTGTGCTAATTAGGCTAATTATACTACATCTACATGAAATATCCTCCCATAAATTAATGATTAGTCTTTCAAAAGCTGATATGCTTTAGCGCTAGTTACTTTGGTAGCCCGGCTACGACCAGGGTAATATGTGTTAAGCGCCATGAGCGTCAGAACCTGACGGATACCGGCGCTATTTGAATAACCATACTATTGATTTTATTTGCACCATTTTTAGTCTTTATGAATAAACAGTGACAATAAAGTCCATATAGTGTACACATGCTTAATATTAGCTCATTATGCTAATTATGAAATTTAAGACAATAGCATTACTTGGAATGAAAAACTGGTGTCAATAATGAATTCCTCGTATTCCTGTATTATACATGTTTTCAAGCTTCCCGGATTGATATTAGCAACATTATTACATATTGCACATATGCTAATTAGATGATCATGTTAATATGGCTATTGAAAAAGTTGCCCAAGGTTGCCAAGCCGGCAACCAAGCTGAATTAACTTCAATACCAATCTAGAACACAAATCAACAAAAAAACCTTGTACTTAACAACTTTTCTAGGTCTGAAAAACTTTTACCGGACTACTTAAAATTGTGATAAATAGGGAAATGTACCGTTTAATGGGTACATGAGGCAGACTATGTACTTTTTCGCCTCTAGAAAATGAATTGCCACAAGTTCTCTCAAATATGTTTAACAAAAGTACTGAATTTCATAGTTATCCCACGAGAATAGAAAAATGTTATCACCTACCAAAGCCACGAACGCAATTTTCCAGCAGGATTTTCACTTTCACTGGCCCAAACTATGGAATGCCCTTCCTGGCACATTAAAAGATAAACCCTCATTAAGTGGTTTCAAAAATGCCCTCACGCACTTTTTGTTGCAAATGAATCGGAATAAGTAGTTACCCTCTCCCTCTCTGTCTCTTTCTCTGTCTCCCTCTACCCCCTCTCTCTGTCTTCTTTTACTCTTTCTGCATGTTTTCCCCCTTTTTCTGTTTTTTACTCTCTCATTCTTATTTTTTTCATTTATCATCATCTAGTCATTCTGCTAATGCTTCTGATTTTGTTTTTGAGTCGTTTAATTGTTTGTTTTTTTATTGTCTTTCATGTTTTTTTTATTCCGTATTTTTCAAAATTAAGTTATAAATCTATAAAGTATAATTATTATTGTGCGAACCTACATCTAACAAGCTTTTGCTTTCAAGTAGATAGGTTTTTTTCTTCATTTCCTGTAATTAATTCATTTTGCCTTACAATGGCCAAAAAACAATGTCAAAGATATTTCAATACTCATTTCTGTTATATCATTACGTTTATTATTGTCTGTTATTGTTTATATTATGTGAACAGAAAAGAAAAAATAAATCGCTCTGTATAGAGCTACTACTACTACTACTACTACTACTACGGCGCTAAGAATAAAATTGATAGTAAGACATTTTGAGGAAGAGTATTCTTCATTGGAATATTTGTTTATCACTTTACGACAAAATATATTGGAAAGTTTTTACTTGATAGCAACTATGACAAAAAAGATTGTCCAAAATTAAAATATCTACCTTTATTTTATAAATAGGTTTATTATGCATATTTTGAGTTTAGAGAGCTAAGTAACAATAATTGATTTTTTTCCCAACAAAGTATCATATGGGACAATAGACAAACAAAAATAGCTGGTAACAGTTGTTTTGTAAAAGATCTATTTGATATTGGTATATGGTATATAGAAGATTTGTTTGATGAACATCGGAAATTAATTGTTTTTATAAATTATCTTCCTTGGCCTTCAGTCGTATCTGCCATTCCGCAGCGGTTGAAAGATCACTGTATTGTGAGTCGGCATCTATTAAGACAGCTAGACCTTTTAATAATATTCGTAATAGACAAATCTATATATCAAAATTGTCAACAAAGATGATTAACATGGTATTAAACGAAAATAAATATCTAAATCCTACTTAAGAAACCTACGGGAGATCAAAATATGAAATAAATGAAGAAGATTTTGATTTAATATATGAATTACCTTTTATAATTATTCCTGATATAAGAGCTTTTCAATATAAGATACATACACGATGCTTACTGGTATATGCAAATTTGACAAAAATGACAATAAGATACAATGACATGTGGTTCCCTCTGTAAACAAGTGCCAGAAACTATTGAACACCTGTTTGTAGAATGTTTATATACACGAGATTACTCGAACGAATTTCTAAGATGGTGGTATACTAGATTTAATAAAGAAAATTCTAATCTGAAAGACGAGGAGAACCCTACAAAAAATTGCGGCAGTGCTGCCAGGGATCAAAATGCCTCTTTTTGCTGGCAGAGAAGTCGGGCCGGCTCCGTTTTGAATATGTGACGGCCCTTCTAGGACGAGCTATGTTGGGACCACAGCCTTCTGAAGTTGTCATGTATATAAAATTATGCAAGATTTGTGTCGGAAATATTTCACCCTCTCCCTTTTTCTCTTCGTTGCCTTTATTTCACTTTTGTTCTTCTCCTACATATCCTTTTGTCTTTTTCTACTCCTCCTTCCTATTGTCTTTCTTTTCTTTTCTTCTTTTTCTTCGAATTCTCTCCTTCCCCCTTTTCTCCTAATTCTTCTTCTTCTTCTGCATCGTATCTTTCTTCCCATTTCTCATTTGTTTTTATACTTAATTCACCTCAAACTTTTCCATTAAAAAAAAATGAAGGTAGAGTTCAGATAAAAATAAATAAAAGTAATGCTGGGCAGTGGAAATGCTTGTGCGACCATAGTTTGGCTCCATGAAAAAGTTATAGTTACATTATCTGATCACCTTGACTGATACCTTCCTTTGATTATTTTGAGACGAAGACAAGTTTGAATGTAATTTTGTGGATTTTATTTTGTGAAAACACCTATTCCCCAACCTGGAAATAAAATATCCCCAGATGTGAATTTATAGACTTTGATTTGGCTGTTTAAACTACTCAACTAAGTACAATGGGTACCTTTCGGATGGAGTTACCAGAACGTTTCTTAGATGAAGATTTTCACCAATGGATCCGACGTTTTGAATTTACAGCCTAAGGTAGTGGTATCTCAGACAAGAACCATCCTCTTCTACCAGCGAGGCTTTCGGGTCTAGCATTTATTGTAAAGCTTACCAGAATAAGAGAGGAAAGACTTTGCAAAAATTAAAGACAAACTGTCTGCATTGTTTCCGTACAAACTTTCCGTTCCTGCATCACTGCCCGTGAGCGACTTCAAAGTGAGCCACTTTAAGTGTATGCCTCAACAATCACTGCCATGGTTGAAGAAGCATTTGCCAAACTGAATGATGCTCTTCACATAGCTCTTAGAGTTGAGAGAGCCAACCAACAGGCTAATGTGTCAAGTATAGCGGCACTCTCGGAGAACAAACAAGATACCAGGTATCTCCAGATACTCGCACGTATAGATGCATTAGATAAGAAAACGGACTCAATTAAAACCTGGTGGACAATCCAAGCCCAACAGCTGTGCAGTCTCTAGCTCAGCAACATCATTCCTCCAATCCAGGGATGGAGAGACATAGCAAACCACCCAATAGACACCCTAAATACCAACAACCACGGCAAGGAGTACCAAAGCAAGTCACACAGCCGACAACCGGTATATCAGCCTCCAAAGCAAGAATACCGAGAATGGTCAACAAGTTCACAACTAGACTACATACACAGGTATCCTAGCCCTCGGGACTCCCGAAGCAGGCAACCCACCTATTCTCATAAGTACCGTCCAGACGATCGGCTCTAGGACAGCAACTCATACCATAAGATGCGCAATAGCCACAGCT